CGACGACGACGCGCATTGGGGCGATAGCTAGGGATCACCTTTAATCTCGCGGATCTCGAAGACGACCTCGGCCGCGGGCGCGCCGCGGAAGGACGGCCGCGCGGCGAGCTCGACGACGCCCGCGGCCGCGAGGGCCTCGGGCGCGAGGTTCGCGGAGCAGAGCGGCGCGCCGCCCGCGGCGAAGACGTTGACGCGGAGCGGCGCCGCGCCGCCGGCCGAGAGGCGCACGATGGGCGACCGCACGGGGCCGTCGCTCTCGCCGCCGAGCACGGGCACGGCGCACTCGACCGTGGCGCCGCCGCAGCGCACGACGGCCGCGAGGGTCCTCGCGGCGCCCGCGGGCAGCTCGTCGTCGGGGAAGCGGACGCCGAAGCGCACCTCGCGGAGGGCGCCGCCGTCGGAGAGGTCGACGTAGGCCGACCGGCGCCGGCCGCCCTCGGCCACGCGGCCGTCGCCCGCGAACCGCGGAGGCCCCGGCCTCGGGCCGCCCGGGACGACGTCCGCCGGCGCGGCCGCCTCCTGCGGCGCGGCCGCGACCTCCCGCGGCGCCTGCTCCTCGGCGGCCGCGCGCCGCGCCGCCTCGTCGGCCGACGAGCGCCGGAGCTGGTCCCGGAAGACGAGCGGTGCCCGCGAGCCGAGGTCGACGGCGTCCGCCGCGTCGTCGAACTTCGGCGTCCGCTGGAGCTCGCGGGCCGCGGCGACGAGTTTGGACGTCGCGGACCGGCTCTCGGCGCGCGCCGCCGGCAGGTGCGCGTTCGTCAGCAGCAAGCGCTCGAGGTCCCGGAGCGCGAGCTCCGGCGCCGCGTCCAGACCCGCCGCCAGATGCGAATCGGGCGGGTTCGCGCCGCGCAGCGCAGCCCAGGACCGCCGGACGACCGCCGACGACGCGTAGCCGTTGCCGTAGGGGTCCGCGTCGTAGAAGGCCCTGCGCAGGTCGCAGTGGCTCGGCAGCTGGCGCGGCGCGGCCGCGACGGTGGGGACGACGCGCGGGGCCTTGGTCTGCGCCGAGAGCTCCGCAGCGGTGATGATGTCGAAGCCCCGGCAGAGGTCGCCGGCGTCGTCGAAGGCCACGAGCGGGCGCACGTCGCGCGGGAGCTGCGCGGCGGCCGCGGACGCGGAGACGAACCCGTCGGCCCCGCGGTCCTCGTCGAGCGCGTAGACGCGGCGCCGCAGGGACCGCAGCGCCTCGCGCCCGCCCGCGGCGCGCATGGCCGCCGCCGCGGCCTCCGCCGCCTCCTTGCGGTCCTGGTCCGCGGCCATGCGGCTCAGCTCGCGCGCGGCCCGGAGGTCCCGGCCGCGGTCCGCGACGCGCCGCTCCTTCAAGCGCTCGACGAACTCGTCGCGGTCCGCCTCGTCCATCATGTGCGCGAAGAGGTCGACCCAGGTCGATTTGATCACCGGGTGCGGCTCCACGGGCTGCGCCGCGCCGGCGGGCAGCGCCGGGCGCATCTTGTCCTTCTTCGCCGCCGCGAGTGCCCGCGCCGCGGGCCCGTAGGGGTCGACCTCGGCGTACGGCAGGTGCGGGCCGACCATGGGCCGCTGACCCCCAGGCTTGACCACGAGCGGCCGGTCGCGGGCCTCCATGAAGTCGGCCATCCTGGGACAGCAAAGAACGACCCGGGTGGGCTACGATCCCACGACCATCGTGGGTTTCAACGCANAAAGCCAACGATCTTGAAGCGACGTTGAGGCTCTGATATTGGGCTGCCCTCGGCTTATGCCCTGCAGGCTCCGTCGAGCCTCGTGAGTTCAGCACTTCCCCCCGTTCCCCCGCGCGTGCGTCGGGGCCCGTCGCTTGAAGCACCGCGTGATGTCTGAGCCCATCGACAGCCCGGCGGGAGTTTTGGGCGCGGCTGCTTGTAATGGCGACATGGACCTGCTGACACGCTGCTTGGCTGACGGGACCGATCCGAACGCCGCGGTTGGTCCTATGGGCGTGCGCGCGTTGCACGCCGCGGTGCGGGGCGGAAGCATCGAAGTCATCCACACTCTCCTCGAAGCAGGCGCGGATTTAGAGCTGGCCAACCGCGAGGGGTATACGCCGCTGATGGCGGCGGTTTTCATGACGGCACCTCGTGCGCTGTATGGAGAACTCGAAGACACCTTCCTCGGGCTGGACGAAGCGCGTGACGCGGTGGAGCGCCGGCTACTTCCAGCGGTCGTCGCTCTCATCGAATCAGGCGCCGACTTCGAAGCGGAATATTCTACCAACGATTTAAAGATACTGTGGTGGGCCGTCAAGTCCGGGCGGCGTCGCACCGTCCTCACGCTCCTGCGAGCCGGGGCCAAGTCTGAAAGCAAGGATCGCTTGGAGCTCACCTACACGGGTGACGAACCCTTTCCTCCCTTTTCGTGCTATCGCAAGGACCGTGGCGAAGCGAAACCACTTCGCGTCCGTGACATAGAGAGCAAGTTCTTCAAGAATCCTAAGTTCGGCGGTTATCTGGAGATCGTGAGCATCGACGGCAAGCCCATCACCGCCGATTTCAGCAGTGATGATCTTGACGCCTTTCTCGCTGCTCGCCAATCGGCCGCGCAGGCGGGGGCCCATCAGCCGTATCGCGTCGGCTTCTTCCATCAAGAGTTTCACTTCTCGCCCGCGCGCGAACCGTTTGGAAGCAACGACTCCACGCTCGCTCTCATGGATGCCATCAAGAAGGCCGGCAGCTTCGACGAGTACGCGCGCTTCCAGCAGCGCTACATCCACGTCGGCATCATCACCAAGTGCTCCCAGGACACGCTCCCGCTGGAGACCAAGACCATCATCACGACCTACCTCTGGAAGTGGGGCGGCGCCTGAAGATCCCCACCCCCTGTGTCCACCCCGTCCCCTGAAGCCCCTAAGTTACGCCTCCTGCGAGCAAGCGCCGCGCCTAGGAGCGCGCGAGCTGGCTGCGGTCGACGGTCTTGACCGTGAGGGTCTCCTCGTTCTTCGCGTCGGCGCTGCGGTGGACCGTGAGGACGACGGAGGAGCCGATCTCCGTCTCCTCGACGAGCGTGAGGAGGTCCTCGACGGTCTTGACGGGCGTGCCGTTGACGCGCGTGATGAGGTCGCCCAAATAGAGCTGGCCGTTCTTGCGCATGCAGCCGACGAGGCCCGCGTCGGCGCCCGGCGAGTTCGGCGGCGCCTCCATGACCAAGACGCCGTCGAGGGGCGCGCCGAGGCGCATCGCGAGGCCCCGCGTCATCTGGTCGTCCGCGACGGAGATGCCCATGGACGGCCGGAGCATGCGGCCGTAGCGGATGAGCTGGTTGACGATGCGGCGCACGGCGTCGACGGGGATGGCGAAGCCGATGCCCGCGGACGCGCCCGACGGCGAGTAGATGGCCGTGTTCACGCCGATCAAGCGGCCCTTCGCGTCCAGGAGCGGCCCGCCGGAGTTGCCCGGGTTGATGGCCGCGTCGGTCTGGACGCAGCCCTTGATGGGCCGCCCCGCGACGCCCTGGACCTCGCGGCCCACCGCGGAGACGATGCCCTTGGTCAGCGTGTGGTCCAGGCCGAAGGGGTTGCCGATCGCGAGGACCGACTGGCCCACGAGCAGCTCGCTCGAACTGCCGACCTCGATGGGCTCGAGCACGGACGCCGGCGCGCGCACCTTGAGCACGGCGATGTCCTTCTCCGGCTCCGCGCCGACCAGCGTCGCGTCGTAGGCGGCCATCGACGCCGCGTCGCCCGTCCCCAAACCCGTCACCGTCGCCTTCTGGGCCTGCTGGATGACGTGGTAGTTCGTGACGACGTGGCCCTCCGTGTCCCAGACGAAGCCCGACCCGGAGCCGCTCGGCGTGACCTCGCCGCGCATCGACAGCGGCGACGTCGACTTGACCTGGGCAGGAAAAGGGTGCGAAATTCCCCAACTTTGGAGGCTCCTATCTCGGTCATTTTCCACTCGTTTCGGCTGATTTTGGGACGAGTGATCATCCCTCGGAGCGCTCTCGACGCGTGGATGCTTTTTCCGGAACGCGCGCGCGCGGAACACTCACGTTGAAGCGAAATTGAATCACCCTTTTGCTGCCCTGGACTTGACGACGGACGTCTGGATGAACGCCACGGACGGCGCGACGCGCTGGAAGAGCTCGACGACGGACCGTTCGCCCGCGTCGAGCTGGCCCATGGCGCTCGCGGCGCCGCCGCTCAGGCCGTCGCCGCCCCGGAGCGCGTCCTGGAGCCGCTCGACGAGCTCGCGCTTCTCCAAACAGTCGCGGAAGTCGATGCCGCGCTCGCCCAGCAGCCGCTTCAGCTCCGACGTCGTGAAGTCGGACGCGGACCGCGCGCCGTGGAGGGCGCCGCCGCGCCGGCTGAGGCCCAGGGTCGGCGCCGCCGCGCCGCCGCGGAAGCCGCGCCGCGCCGCGCCGACGAGCGGCGCGTTGAGGAAGCCGAAGGCCCGCGCGTTGAGCACGAGCATGGACCGGAGCAGCGGTGAGCTGCGCATCATGAGGTTGTTTTCGATTGGTGCGTGTGCTCGGTGGCGGCTCGCGCGCTGCTGTGCGGCGCCGGCGGGATTTGAGAAGGTGCTCTTCTTGTTGCTTTTTTGTGGAGCTCGATCGATCGAGATGCGGGTTTGGGCTCTCCAGGCAACATGCTGCCACAACTCCTGCTCACGCACGCTTCCGACGCCGAACAATGCGCTCGGCAGCCGCATGCGGGGGCGCGGAACCCGCGCGCGAGGTTCGATAAACCCCTCCCGCGACCGCGTTCCAGCGCTCGACCTTCCGGACCTTCGCGCGGGGCTCCTCGGGCAGCATCTGGGGCAGCACTCTTCGACGCTGGATTGGATGCCACCGCGCGCTGGCGCCGCGCTGCGAGGGGCCCGTCCCGTGCGCCGGGGCAGCGATGTGCGCCTCCGAAAAATGCGCGCGGGGCGCTGCCGCCCAGCGACACGAGGCCCTCGCGGACCGCGGCGCCCGTCGGGGCGTCCGCGCGCGCCGCCCGTCCCGCGACGGACGACGCGCGGCCGGAACCGCTTCGACCGCGGGAGACGCCGTGCTCTAGGGCGGCGTGATTTTTACGAGCCTCGGGGTCGTCGGAGCTCCCGGAGCGGCGGCGCTCGCGGACGCGCGCGTTCGCCGCGGCGGACGCGCCGTCCTTCGGGCGGCGGCGCGGCGACGGCGCGAACGAGCGATCGTGCGCGCGCCAGCCGTGCCGCGGATGGCGGCCATTTTTTTCGGCAGCGACGCGGCGACGCGGGTCGTCTGGTCGTCCTTCGATGTCGACGACGCGCCGCGCGCTCCGGCTGCGGCGCGGACTGCGCGGCGTCCGCGGCTCCGCGAGGCGATCCGAGACGCAGCGGAGGCGTCGGTGCACCGTCGCGGCGCGGAAAAAATCGGCGGCGCCAGCGCGACGACGGGCGATCTCCGTCGAGGGTGCGACGCGCGCGATCCGGCCGCGCGCTCGCGAACGATTCGAGAGGCGCGGAGGACCGCGGACGCGCATTGTGCGCGCGGACGATTCGAGAGGATCGCGGCGGCGGCGGCGGAACGACCAACGACGATGCGACGTGCATGGATGGATGATTGGATTGGATTGAGATTGGATGATTGGATGATTGAGAGAGGAAAATGGGGGTCGACGTTGCGCGGCGGTGGTGCAAGACCGCGAACATCTATGGGGGTCGGTTGCAAGCAACGCGAACCAGCCCGGAGCGTAAAAATACATGTGAAAATTTACCAAGGCATTGCCTTGGTTACCAGTTTTCACACTGATAAGAACAGATACTACACTTGATCTTAGCCAAAAGGCCGAGAAAGGTAAGAGCAAGAAGAGCGCGCGCGGCGGCGCCATGTTGGCCCGTCGCGGCCGGCCATCGTCGCCTTCAGCGGCAATTCACGTAAGTATCATCATACCGCGCTAACTAATTCATGGCCACTAAAAAAGTCGCCGCGCCGCTCGCCGCACTCCACTATCCGCAGCGAGCTCCTCCTGCTCGCTGCGTTGGCACCGTCCTCGGCGTCCTCGAGCTCCAAACAATCCTTTTGGAAGCCCTAAAGACCGTGGGCAACGCCCCGAGCCGCCGGAAGCCCGAGCCGCGGCGCACACGAGGCGCGTTGCGCATTGGCTTCGGCCGGTGAATGCGCGCGCTACCGCGGGCCCTCCGATTTCGGCCTCCTCGTCCTCGGCGAGCCCTCCTACAACCTCCCAGGACCGCGAGCACCGCCGCGGACCGGGTCCGGCGCGGGCTCGGCTCGCAGAGCCAAGCAGGAGCTGCCCACCTCGCGCTCGACCTCGGCCGATTCCTCGGGCCGAGGCCGAGCGCCGCGCCGCGGCCTCCTCAAGCCGAGCCCCATGGAGATCCTGTGGCTGGGCGCGTGCGTCGTGCCGAGCGCCGCCGCGGGCCTCGGCCTCGGCGCCGCGGGCCGCGTCGGCGCGCGCGGCCTGGCCAAGTCCGCCGCCGCCGCCGCCGCCGCCTTCGCGGCCGCGGCCCTGGGTCAGACGCGCGGCGACACCGGGTCCGAGGGCGCCCAGCTGGCCGCGTTCGCGGGCGCCAGCGGCGGCCTCGGCGCCGCGGGCTTCGCGGCCGGCGGCGCGGCCGGCGCGGGCGGCCGCGCCGCCTGGCTCGCGCTCCGCTGCGCGCGGCGATGACGCTAAGACCCCTTAACCTCCAACCCCCCGAGCACGACAACAAGCGCCGCCTCGTCGGGGACGACGTAGGGCGCGGAAAGGGCCGCGTCGTGCTTCCACTTCTTCCGGAGCGCCTTCTCGAACTTGGGGAACTTCTTCCGGTAGGCCTTCTCGGCCTTGGCGTCCAGGGCCGCGAGATCCGCGGGCGCGTAGGTGTGGCGGTAGACGGACTGCTGCACCGCGGCGACGGCGTCGCGGATGACGCGGTCGCGGTCCGCCTCCGCGGCGTCGTACTTGGCCCGCGCCGCGGCCGCGGCGTCGCGCGCGGCCTTGGCCTCGGCGACGCAGGCGAGGAAGGCGGCCCCGAGCGCCTCGGCGGCCGTCGCCGCGGCGGCCTCGCGCTTCGCCGCGCGCGCCTCGCCCTCGGCGCGCTCCGCCTCGGCCTCGGTCGCGGACCGCGCGTCGCGCGCGCGCTGCGCCTCGGCCTCGGCCTCCAAGCGCCGCTGCTCCTCGGCGGCGGCGCGCCGCGCCTCGGCGCGCTTCGCCGCGGCGATGGCCTCCTCGGCCGCGACGATGTCGCGGTGCTGCGCGGCCGCGACGACGGCGAGGTCGTGCTTCACGCGGAGCGCGTTGTACGCGGAGTAGACGAGGTGGGGCAGCGTCGCCTTCTCCGCCTGGGCAGGAAAAGAGTGCGAAATTCCCAACTTCAAAGGCTCCTAGCTCGGTCGTTTTCCACTCGTTCCGGCTAATTTTTGGACGAGCGATCATCTCTCGGAGTGTTCTCGACGCGTGGGTGCTTTTTCCGAAACGGTCGCGCGCGGAACACTCATATTGAAGCGAACTTGAATCACTCTTTTCCCGCCCCGTTCTCCGCGGGCCAGCGCGCGCCGGGCAGGGCGCGGATCGCGAGGATGGCCGCGGACTGGAACGCGGCGGACCCCGGCGACAGCGACGGGTCCGACGGCTCCGCGCCCGCCGGCAGCAGGAGCTCCACCGTCGCCGCGGCCTCGCCGAGGACGTCGGCCGTCGCGCCACCGTCGTGCGGCGGCCGCGGCGGCTTCGGCGCGGGCACGTCGTCGTGGTCCTCGGCGTCGACGAGGGGCAGCGGCAGCCGCACGCAGCCGCCGAGCACGGCGCCGAGCGGGCCGGCCACCTTGCTCGGCAGCGTCCCGTAGAGCGCGGCGAGGCCCGGGAGCGCGGCGGCGACGGCGGCGGCGACGGCGCGCTTGATCGCGCCGTCCGCGCCCGCGCCGATGAGCTCCGCGGCGTCGCGGAGGCCCTTGGCGTTGCTCGGCGCCGCGAGGACGCGGTCGACGACGGCGGGCAGCGTGTCGCCGTCGGGGAAGACGTCGACCCAGTCGAGCGCGAGCGCCGCGCCGTCGACGTCCGCGGCGACGTGCGGCGGGCTCGACGGCACGAAGGCCGCACCGTCCGCGAGCGAGTGGGGCGCGTCGTCGGGGACCGGCGCGGCGTCGAGCGCGCCGGGCAGCGCCGCGTCGAGGAGCACGCTCGGCAGGCTCGGCGCGAGGGGCGCGAGCGCGCCTGGGTGGAATCAAAGCATCGACGCAAGCTCTTTGGCCGTGCTTCGAGAACTCGCCGAGAGAAAACGACCCGTCCAAAAATCAGCCGAAACGACGTCGATGTGACCGAGATCGAGAGGTTTGAAGTTTTGCTGGACCCGGTCGCGCGCCCTGGAGGTCGCGCGGGTGGAAGCCGAGGACGTGGCGGAGGCCGTGCGCGGCGAACTGGGCCTCGAGGTCGCCGGCGGACGCGTCCCTGGCGACGGCCTCGAGCGCGCCCCGCGCGGCGTCGCCCGCGTCCTCGCCGGCCTCGAGGCGCGCGACGCGGAAGAGGACCGCGTCGCGGACGCAGAGGAGGAGCGCGGCCGCGGCCGCGGGCAGGACGCCGTCGAAGGAGCTCAGCACGCACTGGTCCCAGACGTAGAGCGCGGCGGCCTCGGAGCAGACGTCGACGAGGCCGCGCTTCATCGTCGCCCCGACGGCCCGGCCGAGGACGTCGCCGCCGCCGCCGAGCGCGTCGAGGAGCTCGTCGTCGCCCGCGCCGCGGAGCACGGCCGCCGCGCGGTCGAGCCAGTCCTTGGGCACCCACCAGGCGGGCGTCGCGGCCGCGCGGGGCAGGCCGATGCCCAGGCGGAGCGCGAGGGCCGCGGCGCCCGCGCCGCCCTCGAGGAGCTTCGCGTTCGGCGACGCCGCCGCCGCGTCGCCGGCCGCGGCGAAGGGCGTCCCGTCGGGCCGCGGGCTCGCCTCGACCGTCGCGGGCTCGAGGCCCCGCGCGAGCGCGGCGCTCACGGCGGCGACGACGGCCTCGGCGTCCGCGGCCTCGCCGAAGACGCGGAGCGGCGGCACCGCGAGCCAGTACGCGGCCTCGGGCAGCGCGGCGGTGCGGCGGGAGCGGTGCCGCGCGTCGAGGTAGGACAGGGCCGTCTTCATGGCCGCGAGGCCGTCGGCGCCGAAGTCGCGGGGCCCCAGGATCTCCGCGCAGCGCGCGGTGATGTCCGCGTCGAAGGGCGAGATCGTCGCGACGACGCCGCGGCGCCGCAGGTCGCGGAAGGTCGTCGCCGCGGCCTCGTCGCGGAGCCGCGCGCGCCAGAGGGGCCCCCGGAGCGCCCCGGGCAGGGGCCGGCCCAGGAGCAGCTGGAGCGCGCCCAGGCCGTTCTCCCGGGGCAGCCCCTCGAGGAGCGCGAGGATGCCCGCGGACGCCTCGGCCTCGATGAGCTCGACGACGCTCGCGGAGCCGCCGCCGCGCTCCTCGCCCTCGAGCCGCGCGGCCGTGACCGCGCGCGAGAGGCTCAGGTCGAGCTGCGCCGACAGCAGCGCCTCGAACTGGCCCGCGGACCCGCCGTCGACGACCATCTGCCCGTAGACGTCCTCGAGCAGCGCGTCGCGCGCCGCCGGCGACAGCGCGCCGAAGCCCGCGCCGCCGTCCCCGCGGTGCTCGACGCGCCAGACGAGCTCGCGGCAGAGCTGGCGGAACGCGTCCGACGACGCCGTCTCGTCCTGCGCCGCGCGCAGCCACGCCGGGCAGGCCGCCGCCATGGCGCGGCGCCGCGCTCGGCGAAGCGAGCGGGCGTTACCGGCGCGACGCCAGCGTCGGCGGCCGGTCGTCGGCGACGCGCGCTGGGAAGGCTGACGAGCCACTAGGCGGCTGCGCCGGATAGCAACGAGAGATGGCTCATCATTGGGCTGCCCACCCGGTGCTCCACGATTGTTCCCTTCAGCTTTGACATCGATCCTTCATCAGTGCGGGAATACAAACTTGGACCCGGGCAGCTTTCCACGATGGTTTTAGCTATAGGCTGACACCCAGATGGAGCTTTGGCTCCTCGCCTTGCTGCCGGCGCTGGCGCGCGCCGCTTGCTCGCCGCGCGTCATCACGGCGTCGGCGGACGCGGTCTGGTCCGTCTTCGCCATCGACGTCGACGGCGACGGCGACGTCGACGCGCTGTCGGCCTCCGGCGACGACGACACGGTCGCGTGGTACGAGAACGATGGGTCGCAGTCCTTCACGGAGCGCATCATCATGACGCTCCACAACAATCCCATCTCCGTCTTCGCCATCGATGGTCCGCAGTGCATTCGTCCGTTCGCCGATATAAAGAACCGTCATATAGGCCACCCTACTCGGGGACGACGCCGACGAGCGACCCGGCGAAGGAGAGGATGCCGTCCTTGTTCTCCCGCCGCTGCAGCCGGAAGCGGACGAGCGTGCCCACGGCGAGGTCCGCGTCGCCGTTGGTCCACTTGGCGCCGTCGAAGGCCCAGCCGCCGAGCTCGGCCTTGTCGACGGACGCGTTGAAGTAGCCGTGCACGAGGAGGCCGACGAAGCCTGGCGCGACGGCGTTGACGCGCGCGGGCAGCACCTGCGGCGGCTTCGGGCAGAAGACGGTGCTGTTGAAGCGGACGTCGACGTGGACGTGCGCGTCGCCGCCGTAGACGCGGCCGTGCTTCGAGCCCGGCGCGAGCGCGACGTCCGTCGCCGTGAGCGGCACCCCGCCGAGCGCCGACGAGAAGCGCATGAGCTGGTCCTGGAGCAGCTGGCGGATGTGCACGCGCACGTCGTCGAGGCAGTGCGGCAGTAGCGCGAAGTGCGCCGCGACGGCCATGGACTTGAAGGCGCCCTCCGTGCCGTCGCGCGACGGCGGCGCGGCAGGAGTGAGGGTGACGGCGTTCGCGGGCGTCGCGGAGGCCTTGGCCTTCTTCTTTTTGGTGGACGCGTCGCCGCTCGACGTCTCCTTGCTCCGCTTGCCCATGATGCGCGTTGCGTCGAGGCGCGCGCTCAGTCAGCCGCAAAACTTTTCAGCAAATGGCCGCCATCGCTCGGCGTGCTCGGCGCCGGAGGTGCCGCGACGGTGCAGTGCTCTCTCTAGAATCGCCATCGGCGCCGACTCCCGGCCCTCCCGCCACTCCCAGATGGCGTCCTACGACGAGGCCCTGACGAAGATGTACGAGGAGCGGCTGACGGCGTTCTACGGCAAGTACGAGCCCTCCAAGGTCGCGGGCGTGGGCGCGCTCCTGGCCAAGTACAAGGGCAAGGAGGAGCAGCTCCTGAGCGCCATGGTGAAAAAATACGGCCCCGAGCCGACGCCCGAGGAGGCCGGCGGCGACGACGACGACGACGACGACGAGGCGACGGACGACGAGGACCCGACGGTCGCGCCCGGGAAGGACGGCCGCGCGGACGACGACGAGGACCTCGAGGAGGAGGAGGACGACGACGAGCCCGAGTCCGACGGCGAGGACAAGGCGCCGATCTACTGCCCCGTCAACGGCCTGCCGCCGGAGTACGCCGAGTTCGGCCCGGACTACGAGAAGTCCATGGAGTGGATCAAGGCCAACTGCCCGCACCTGCTGCCCGCGGGCGACGACGACGCGCCGGGCGGCGCGAAGAAGAGCGGCAAGCGCGGCGGCGGCATCCTGCGCAAGAAGGCCGTCGCCGAGGAGAAGCAGCGCGTGACCATCGCCGTCGAGGTGCGGTCGAAGAAGAAGTCCGTGACCGTCGTCGAGGGCCTCGAGACGCTCGGCGTCAAGCTGAAGGACGCGGCCAAGTGCTTCGGCAAGAAGTTCGCCGCGTCGAGCTCCGTCAAGGAGAAGGACAGCGGCGGCATGGAGATCGTCATCCAGGGCGACGTCTCCTACGACCTGCCCGCGCTCCTCCAGAAGGAGTACAAGATCAAGAAGTCGAAGATGTTCGAGAAGGAGAAGGGCGGCAAGCTCACGCCCGTGCGCTAGGACGCGCGGCGGCCGCTCGCGTCTTAATCGGTCTTGCGGGGCTCTGTGTGCCCAAGTTAGGGAAGGGGGCGCGCGCCCGACGGGCGGCGTCCGAACGTTGCACCGCACTTGCACACCGCGAGAAGCGCAGCCCCAAGCATGCGATGGGCTCCCCGAGCGGCTCCACCCCCGGCACGTTCAAGTACGAGGTCGAGTTCGTCAGCGACGACGAGGACGACGCGCGCGACGACGACGACGTCGTGCGCGCGGAGATCCACTTCCACGACGTCCTCACGGAGGAGTACGCCTCCTACGGCGTCAAGCTGCCCGTGCCCTGGCTCCGCAAGGCGACGGCGAAGGACCTCGTCGACGCCTTCGCCGACGAGTACGCGCGGACGCGGCCCGAGCGCGGCGCCATGGGCCGGCTGCGGCTCGTGACGACGCACGGCGCCGCGCTCGAGCCGGCCGCGGCGCTCGACGGCGCCGTCCGCGGCGGCGCGACGCTCCTCGTCGCGCCCGCGGCGGCGTCGTTCCGGCCTCTGCCAGATGCGCCGGGCCACGAGCGCGCCGGCGAGGACGGCGCCGCGGCCGCCGAGGCCCTGGGCGTCTGGCGGTGCGCGCGCTGCGGGTCCGCGGCGCTCGACTGGGAGACGCGGTGCTGGGAGTGCGGCGAGAGCCGCGGCGGCGGCGACCCGGGCGCGGCGGACTCGGGCTGGCGGGGCGACGGCCGGCAGGTCGAGGCGCACCTCGGCCCGGGCTGGACCTGCGCCTGCGGCGCGACGTGCCTCAGCTTCGAGGGCGCGTGCCACTCGTGCTTCCGGAAGAAGAACTACGCCGCGTAACGTCGTTTTTATCGGGGGGGAGGGGAGGCGGGTCGGGTGCGTGCTCGCTCACGGGGGCGCCACGACGGAGGCCTTGCCGTGGGGCTTCTCCGGGAGGAGGAAGCGCGGCAACAGCGTCCGGTTCTTGCGGAGGTAGCCAAGAACCGCGGTCTCGAGGAGCTGGCGCGTCTCCTTGGGCAGGTTCGAGCCGCCGACGCCGACGGCCTTGGCGCGGAGCTGGCGCAGGGTCTCGTCGTCCTTGCCCGCGTCGAGCCCCGCGAGGAGCATGGACACGACGTCGCGCGCGCCCTCGTCGCGGTCGATCATGTCCGCCAACGTCCGCTGCAGGTCCGCGAAGCGGTCGTGCTTGAGCGCGGAGCACCAGTCGGAGCGGAAGAAGGCGATCCAGTCGTCGACGATGCCCCGCTCGTAGGAGAGCCACGCGGAGTTGAGGTACGCCTCCTGGTTGCCGACGAGCGCGGCCAAATTCCGCGGCTCCACGGGCTCGCGGCCGAGGTACACAATCTCCGCCAACACGCCGTTTTTGTCGATCTTGAGCACGCTGTACTTGTCGCGCGCCGCCGCGAGGTCCCGCAACGACCGCACGCCCACGGCGCCGTCGAGCGCCGCCTCCGGGTCGTCCGCGGCCGCGGCCTCGTCCAGCAGCGCGTTGGCCCGGTCGTTGCCGAGCATGCCCGTCGGCAGGCACTTGCAGTCCGGCGGGACCACGGGGAGCGACGACCGGCAGTAGAAGAGCCCCCCCGGGAGCTTCGCGGACCGCGTCCGCGGCTTCCCGAAATCGGGCAGCGCGTCCGGCGGCGCCTCGACGGGGTCGACGCGCGGGTCGAGCCGGTCGAGCACGCAGCGCGCCAGGTGGGCGCCGAGCTCCAGCGAGTTGTAGCGCTCGTGGTAGAGCGCCGTGGGCCCGCCGCCGCGCGCGGCGATCGCGCGGCGGTGCACGTTCGAAAACTTCGTGTGGCGGCCGCCCGCGTAGATGGACTTGTCCGTCGTGCGGAACTGGGCGTCCACCACCAGGCGCCCGTCGTAGACGAGCCCCGCCTCGTTGACGGCGAGGAATAAATCGGAAGTGATGTCGTCCGCGTCCGCGCCGAGCAAAATGCCGCACTCGACGTCGACGGTCATGTCCTGCTGCGCGCGGCGCTGCGCGTCGTGCCAGGGCGGCGCCGGCGGCGCGCCGGCGGCGGGCCGGGGGCGGCGGCGGCGCGAAGACGGCCCGCTCGAGCTCGCCCGTCTCCGCGTCGTGGACGAGGCGCCGGAGCTCGAGGTCGTAGAGCACGCGGACGCCAACCTCCGTGAGCTGCGCGGCCGCCACCCGGTCCACGACGGCGTCGCCGAGGCTCTCGAGGGCGTCCGCGGGCACGACCAATTGGATCTGCTCGCCGTCGACGCCCGCGTCCAGCAGGCCCCGGACGGCCGCGAGCGCGCCGACGCCGACGCCGAAGACGGCGACGCCCCTGAGGTGTCGGCCCCGCGCGAGCTCGACCTTGAGCGCCCCGAGCATGTCGTCCTGGCTCAGGCTCACGAAGCCCTCGAGGGACGGCGGCGGCCGGCCGCCGCCGCGGCCGCCCTCGACGCCGCCGAGCGCGCCCGCCGTCGACGTCGGCGCGTCGGCGCGCGGCGCGGCCGCGGGCCCCGGCCCGGCCTCGCCCAAGTCCACGCGCATGACCTCGCCGTCGCCGAACTCGTCGCCGTGGACGCCGTCGTCGCCGAGGAGCGCCAGGCCCCCCGCGAAGTCCGGCCCCGCGCTCCGCGCCAAGCGCTTCGCCGACGACTCCTGGAGCCCGTTCGTGAGCACGAGGACGTCGTAGAGCACGATGGCGCCGTCGGGCAGCACCACGGCCTTGTTCGCCCGATCTAAATCGACGACGCGCGCGTGGACGACGCGCAGCCGCTGGCCCAGGCCCAGCGCCTCGAACTGGAACCGCGCGGGGAAGTCCTCGTCGAAGGCTTCGTAGCGGCTCGCGCCGCTGTGCTCCGGGTCCGGCACGCCATTCGGGCTCACCAACGTCACGTGGCTCAGGTGGAGGCCCGGCTCAAAGAGCAGCTCCTGGAGCAGCCCCACGGCGCAGCAGCTCAGGCCCACGACGACGACGCGCGCGTGGACCTCGGCCTTGCGGTCCGACGCCAAGCGCCGCGTGAAGTAGTGGAGCAGCTCGCCGCGCGCGCGCGGCGGCGGGCCGTCCCGGGCCGCGGACGCGCTGCCCACCGTCGCCGTGTCGTCGTCGCCGGCCGCGGCCGCCGCCGGCGGCGGCTCGTCGTCGCCCTTGGGCCGGTGCTCGAGCAGTAAGGCGCCGCCCGGCTCGGGCGTCGGCCGCCACCGCGCGCGCACGGGCACGAGCTCCTTGAGCACGAGGGGCGGCATGCGGTCGCCGAGCGCCGACTCGTGGTAGAGCACCGTCTTGTCGTAGAGCCGCATGACCTCCTTCAATACGAAGCGCGCGTGCGCCGCGAAGATGGGGTTCACGACGAGCAGCCCCAGGGACGCCTGGGCCCGCGCGCGGTGGCGCTCGAAGGGCACGAAGTCCTCGATGTGGTAGTTCGCCTTGAGCCAGTTGAGCACGTTCGTCGACGCGGCTTTCCGGGACACGGAGACGACGGCGACGACGGCGCCGCCGACGACGGCGACGAACGCGGCCGCGTTCGGCCCCTCCTCCAGGGGCACGGAAAAGTCGGCGCCCAAACCCGCGACGATCTGGTCCGGCGTCGGCGCCGGTTCGCCGTCCGCGGTCACCGCGTCGTCGCCGCGCGACGCCAACAACGCCGCCGCGGGCGCGGCGTGGACCGCGGGGTCGAAGCGCCGCACGCGGAGCTGCTCCGCGGCGACGAGCGACGCGCGGTGGAGCAGGAAGAGCGTGTGGGAGAACGTGGACCCGAGGCGGCTCGGCACGGCGACAAAGTCCTTGAGGAAGGGCGCGGACGCCTTCATCGTCGGCGGCGCGGTGACCTGGGCAGGACAAGAGAGATTCAACGTCGCTTCAACGTGAGTGTTCCGCGCGCGCGCGTTCCGGAAAAAGCATCCACGTGTCGAGGCCGTTCCGAAAGATGATCGCTCGTCCAAAAATCAGCCGAAACGAGTGGAAAACGGCCGAGATCGGAGCCTTTCAAGCTGGGAATTTCGCTCTCTTGTGCTGCCCTGGCGGTGACGACGCAGTAGTCGCGGCCCGGGAAGAGCGCGAAGACCGAGGGGAAGAAGTCGCGCGCGCGGCACTCGTGGGCCTCGTCGAGGCAGAACAACGTGATGGCGAGCACGTTGGACGCGCCGGGCGCCGCGGCCGCGCCGACCGCGGGCGCCTCGGCGAGCGCCGACGCCGCGGGCGCCGCCGGCGCGGGCGCGGCCGCGGGCGCGGCCGCGGCGTCGGCGACGCCACCGTCATCGTCCGGCGGCGGCGCCTCGGCCGCCGGCGCCTCGGGCCCCGCAGTCGCCACGAGGTTCCCGTAGGGCTCGAGCTGGAAGCACTTCTGGAGCATCGCGACGTCGATGTCCGTCGACGCGGCGAGCAGCCCGACGGCGCGGCCGTCCACGGTCGCGACGACGGCGCGGTTCATGTCGTCCTGGGCCTCGATCATCTCCGCGAGAAAAAAGTCCCCAAAGTTCGCCGACAGCACCTCCGACTGCTGCTCGAAGATGGGCAGCAGGTCGTCGCTGTCCTCGACGCACGCCGCGCGAATCAACAGCGTCGGCACGAGGGCCTCGCGGCCGCAGTAGGCCAGCGTCGACTTGTAGAGGCTCTCCAGCGCCGGGTCCGGCTCGCCGTCGCCCCGGGGCACGGGCTCCAGGCGCCCGAAGAGGCCCGCGCACTCCGCGGGCACGTCCTCCTTGCCCCCGAGCGCGAGGACGACGTGGTCGACGGCCGGGAGCGCGTGGAGCGCCGCCGTCGTCGCCGCCTCGACGACGGCCCGCCCCGCGGACCCGGACTCGGCGACGCAGAACTCGAGCCAGACCGCGTCGCCGATCGTCGGGCCCTTGCCGGGCGCGAAGCGCGCCGCGGACAGCGCGGCGAGCCAGGGCTCGGCGGCGTGGGGCGCGCCGCGCGGGCCGTCGCTGAAGACGAGGAACCCGAGCATCTGGTGGCCCTCGGACGACGCGAGGTCGCGGTCGCCGACGACCAAGGCCAGGTAGCCGCTCTCGAGCAGGTTCGCCACGTTGAAGGTCCCGAAGCGCTTGCGGTACTTGGGCGTGCCGCCGCAGTTCGTGATCAGCGCCGAGATCGCCGGCCCATCGTCGGGCGTCGCGCGCCGCGTGTGCATGGTGCCGCGGCCGGCGCGCGGGCCGATCGATTGCGTTACTTGCAAAGCGCGCAAAGGTGCACGGTTGCCGATACGCTGCACCCGTTATGGAGGCGTATCTTCAAGAAAAACGCTCGTGCTCTCGCAAAGCGCGCTGCTCTGCGCAAGCTCCGCCGCCGTCCGGCGTCGACCCGCGGCGGTTCCCGGCTTCCGGCGCGCGGGCTCCGCCGTCTTTTCGCGCCGCGCGGCCTGCCGCGGCCGCGCCGGGACGCGCGCCATGGGCGCCGCCGGCTCCGTTGAGAAGACGCTCCAGAACGTGCCCAACCTGCTGACGAAGGAGCAGTGCGGCGAGCTCGCGAGCTCCCACGGCGTGACGGTCAACGAGCGCATGTTCGCCATCCTCAGCAACAAGGAGGGCCTCATCCCCAAGCCCGCCGTCGTCCGCTACTGCCAGCTCAACGCCATCGCCGCGAACCCCGAGGCCGCGACGGCCGCCGCCGCGCCGGCGAAGCCCGCGGCGCCGCCGGGCGCCAAGAAGGACGGCCGCGAGGTCATGCGGCGCGTGTCCATGGCCAAGGGCGCGCGGCCCGCGCCCGGCGGCGCGTCCCGGCCGTCCATGGGCGGCGGCGAGCGCGCGGCGGCCGCCGCGCCGCCGGCGCCGGGCGCGCCGCCGGGCGACGCGCCGCCGCCGCGGCGCGAGCGCAAGGCGTCCTGCGTCTTCGACTCCATGCCCAAGCGCAAGCGCCAGCCCACGGTCGTCGAGCAGCGGCTCCGGAGCCTCGTCGACAACAACCAGGTCTTCCAGGCGAAATACCGCGCGGGCGATCCCGACGCGACGACGCTCGAGCGCGGTCGCGTCGCGGCGGCCGATGTTCGGACGGGTCGCGTTCGCTCGTCGAGGGCGATGCCGACGCGACGACGCTCGAGCGCGGTCGACGGGGCCGATGTTCGGACGGGTCGCTTTCGCTCGTCGAGCGCTCCGCGGAGCTCCGAAGGCGTCGCGTCGCGCGCGCGAAAGCCGCGTCGACGCTGGGACGTCCCCAGGCGACGGGCGCCGCGAACAAGTTCGACGCGAACTTCGTCGACGCGGACGAGGAGCGCGCGCGGCGCCAGAAGCACGCCGAGGCGCTGCGCATGCAGGCCGAGGAGGCCATGGCGCGCTTCAACGAGCTGCCCCTGAACGAGCAGAAGCTCGCGAAGAACGACGGGAGCCTCGAGATGCGCGCGGCCGCGCGGAAGCGCGCGCGCCGCCCGAGCGCGCGCCCTCCCGAGCTCGGCCGCGCCGGCGCGCGTCCGGACGCGTCGCGCGCGCCCGTCGACGCGTCTCCACGCCACGCCCGCGCGACGACGCTCCCGTGGATGCGCGTGCCGACAGGTACACGCCGGAGAACCTCGAGAAGCGCATGAACATCCGGTCCGCGCCGGGGCAGCAAAAGAGAGCGACATGCCCAACTTCAAAGGCTCCGATCTCGGCCATTTTCCACTCGTTTCGGCTGATTTTGGGACGAGCGATCATCTCTCGGAGCGGTCTCGAAGCGCGGATGCTTTTTCCCGGAACGCGCGCGCGCGGCACGCTCACGTTGAAGCGACGTTGAATCGCTCTTGTGCCGCCCAGGTCCGCGCCGCCCGTCGAGAGCGCGCTCCAGAAGTGGTGGAAGGCGTCGGCGCGCTACGACGACAAGGACCGCGACGGCGCGCTGAACAAGCCCGAGCGCGGCGCCGGCGCCCTTCGGGGGGGTTGTTCGCGCGCGGCGTCCCGCGAGCGGCGCGCCGCAGGTACGCGGCGTTCCACAAGCGGCTCCTGGGCCTCTTCGAGGTCATGGGCCTGGACCACCCCATCAGCGAGGAGGAGGGGCGGGACCTCATGGAGCAGGACTTCGAGCTCGACTCCGGCGGCGACGGCCTCGTCAACGAGGAGAAGTTCCTCTACAGCATCTTCCAGCTCGCGGACCAGTGGACGGACAGCATCGACGCGGAGCACTACTGCTCCTTCCTCCACAAGGCCTACGACATCGTCTACAAGGAGATGATCGAGAGCGACGCCATCCGCCCGCCCGCGGAGTGGACGGCGGCGATGAAGGCCGTGCCGCGGTCGAACGCCGCGTGGTCCAACTCCAAGGTCGTCGACTGTGTGGAAATCAAATCTTCAACCCGACTTCAATGTGAGCGTGATTGAACGGATTGCGCCGGACTCTTTGGCTGTGCTTCGAGAACTCGATGAGAGCAATCGATTCGTCCAAAAATCAGCCGAATCGACTTCGATTTGACCGAGATAGAGAGTTCTGAAGTTTGGTGGGGATCCCCAAACCAGTGGTTGATTTCCACACAGGTCGTCGAGTTCATGGCGGAGATGTACCGCCTCAAGATCGCCCCGCCGGCCGAGGGCGACGCCAAGCCGTCCAAGAAGGCGGCCCAGAAGGCGCGCGACGCGACGCTCTGCCGGTTCGTGCTCGGCGAGATGGCGAAGCGCTTCGGCGCGGCCGACAAGCGCGACGGCTCCGGCAAGCAGCTCCAGGAGCTCACGAACACGATCCTCGCCGTCATCGAGAAGCCGCCGACCATGGGCGGCGACAAGGGCGGCCTCCAGGTCTTCTCCTGGATGCTCCTCTTCGCGCAGCTCGTCGGCTTCCACACGCTCTCGAGCCGCCTCGTCGCGCTGCCCGAGCGCGCGGCCGTCTACGTGCTCGACGTCATCGACAAGTGCCGGCCCCTCCTCGACGGCAAGCTCCCGACGAACGAGCTCCGCGACTGCATGGCGGCCAAGGAGAACGAGGCCATGGTCGGCTACATCAAGGTCGACAAGGCGCGCGTGCTCATGGCCACGCTCCTCAAGAACGCGCCCTTCGACACCGAGTCCGCGGCCTTCGGCCAGGCCATGGAGAGCGCCTTCCGCTCCATCGTCCTCCACATCGCCAACACGCCCTGCGTCGAGATGGCCGAGTTCCTCACGCTCGTCGCCGCGGGCTTCGTCGCCACGCAGTGCCCCACGCTCGTCAACGAGGGCTAGCGCGGGCGCCCGGCGGGGGGGGCGGCCGGCCGCGCGCGCCCGGGACGCGGCCGCGGCCCGGGCTCGTAGGTCGCTTACGAGTCTCGAGGAGCCCCTCCGTTTCCCCCGCCGGGGGACTCGTAGGTCGCTTAGTCGCCTCACGCGTTGAGGTGGTACGTGGCGCCCCAGGCGTCGGTGCCGTGCGGAGTGCAGCCGTCGTAGAGGCCGCAGCCCTCCGTCTCGTGGTGGTAGATGGCGGCGTGCGCGCGCGCGGTGCGGGAGCAGCCGCGAGGTCGTCGTCGTCGTGTTCTCGTCGTTCTCATCTCGTCGTCCTCATCTCGTCGTCGTGGTCTCTCGTCGTCGTGGTCTCTCGTCGTCGTGTTCTCTCGACGTCGTGTTCTCATCGTCCTCTTCTCGTTCTCATCGTCCTCTTCTCGTTCTCATCTCGTCGTTCTCATCTCGTCGTCCTCATCTCGTCGTCCTCGTCTCGTCGTCATGTTCTCGTCGTCTCGCTGGCTCTCTCTTGCGCGAAACGTAGTGGGGAAATCGCCTTACGCAGTGCTTCCCCCGCCGCAGGCGCAACACATCTCATAGGAATCGAAGTCGTCGTCATCATAATAGCCGCACCAATTTTGCCCGACATAAAGCTCGCACCCGTACAAATCCGCATCGGTCGCGCCGTAGTTGGTATCCTCGCAGATGGGAACCCGGGCTGCGAACGGCGCTTCGGCACCCCTCAGGGACGAGACACTCACAAGATGCAGGGCCCCTCCGCGCACGACTCAGAGGTCATCCCCCCCGGACACGACTCAGAGGCCCAGTCCGGGCACGACTGAAGACCCGAGTCGAAGAACATATCGCTCACGTCCGTCACCGACGACGTTTCCCAGGCGCTGATGTCCTGGTCGAAGCTGTCGGCGAAGGCGAACATATCGCGCATCGTCGTCACCCCCGACGTGTCCCAGGCGCCGATGGGTTGGTTGAACGCTTTCACGCCGCTTTCGGAGTTACCCCAGAACATGGCGAACATCGTCGTCACCCGCGCCGTGTCCCAGCTTCCGATGTCCTGGTCGAAAGCATCAGCGTGGCCGAACATCGCGTACATGTCGGTCACCCGAGACGTGTCCCACGCGCCGATGTCCTCGTCGAAGCTCTTGCCCGCCGCCCGCAACTCTTCCGCCATCTTTTCGCCGTTGAAGCGCAGGCAGCGTTCGCCGGCGCCGGTAGCGCAGAACAACGCCTTCATGGATGTGACTTTCGACGTGTCCCACCTGCCGATGGGGCCGTACTTGACCTCAGCCGCGTTTGCTGCAGCGAGCCATTCGTCGACGGCGTCCGCGAGCTCGACAGGGTTACCGTCGAAGGGGTAGCACGCCGTCGGGCTGGTCGTGGGAGCCGAGGACGGCGAGAGCGTGGGCGCCTCGGTCGGCGCCGCCGTGGGGGCGGCCGTCGGGCTGGTCGTGGGAGCCGAGGACGGCGCGCCCGTGGGGGCGGCCGTCGGGCTGGTCGTGGGAGCCGAGGTTCCCGCCTCGGTGGGCGCGCCCGTGGGGGCGGCCGTCGGGCTGGTCGTGGGAGCCGAGGTTCCCGCCTCGGTGGGCGCGCCCGTGGGGGCGGCCGTCGGGCTGGTCGTGGGAGCCGAGGTTCCCGCCTCGGTGGGCGCGCCCGTGGGGGCGGCCGTCGGGCTGGTCGTGGGAGCCGAGGTTCCCGCCTCGGTGGGCGCGCCCGTGGGGGCGGCCGTCGGGCTGGTCGTGGGAGCCGAGGTTCCCGCCGCGGTGGGCGCGCCCGTGGGGGCGGCCGTCGGGCTGGTCGTGGGAGCCGAGGTCCGCGCCCGTGGGCGCGCCCGTGGGGGCGGCCGTCGGGCTGGTCGTGGGAGCCGAGGTTCCCGCCGCGGTGGGCGCGCCCGTGGGGGCGGCCGTCGGGCTGGTCGTGGGAGCCGAGGTTCCCGCCGCGGTGGGGGCGGCCGTCGGGCTGGTCGTGGGAGCCGAGGTTCCCGCCGCGGTGGGCGCGCCCGTGGGGGCGGCCGTCGGGCTGGTCGTGGGAGCCGAGGTACTGTTGGTACTGTTTCCCGCCGCGGTGGGCGCGCCCGTGGGGGCGGCCGTCGGGCTGGTCGTGGGAGCCGAGGTACTGTTGGTACTGTTCCCCGTGGAATTGGCCGTGGGCAGGCCCGTGGGCAGGTCCGTGGGCTTGGCCGTGGGCAGGTCCGTGGGATTGGCCGTGGAATTGGCCGTGGGCAGGCCCGTGGGCAGGTCCGTGGGCTTGGCCGTGGGCTCGGCCGAGGGGTTGGGCGTGGGCTCGGCCGAGGGCTCGGGCGTGGGCTTGGCCGTCACGACCTCCACCGTAACGGTCGCTTCGGCGAGCGCGTCGAGCGTCTTCTCCTTGTCCACGCCGGCGCCTTCGAGCGCGTCCGCTGCCTCGGGAGACCGCTCGGCGGCCTGCGCCTTAAGCTCTGGGAGGAACTTGCCGCTCTCCACGGCCTCTTGGAGCGCGTTCGTCGCCTCGGCCGCCGCGTCCTCCGCGGCCGACTCGTCGTCCGCGAAGATGGTGGCGTTGAACGAGACTTTGGCGCCGTCCTCGTCCTGGAGCCGCCGCCGGGTCGACGTGCTCTCGGCCACGATGTTCGACACATCGTCGTAGCCGCCCAACGAGATGATCGTCGCCTTGAGCGCCGCCCGCACGTCCGCGTCCTCGTTCACGTCCGAGGCCGAGACCCCCGTCATGAAGAGCGACGTCGACACCTTCGCCTGCGCTCCGGCGGGCGCCGCCGTAGTGGTCGTCTCCACGGGGGGCGCCGCCGTAGTGGTCGTCTCCGGCGGGATGATATACCCAAAGGCGTCCGCCGACGCCAGGAAGGTCGCGGCGAGGAGAAGTCGGGGAAACGTCGTCATCATGATGTCACGGGGGGTGTCCGAGAGGCCGCAGGAAAGTACGTGCGTGGTGGAGATTGCGGGTGCCTGCGGGGGAATCGACGCGGTTCCGCGGCGACGATCGACGGACGAGGCGCGCGAATCAGGGGTTGAAGACCTTTCAGGCACGTCCGCCGACGGCCGGGAGGCCGGCCGCCGGCCGCGCCGCGCCACCGAGGACTCGAAGACGTAGCGGAGCGGGTCCCGGCGCGCCGGCCGCCGGCCGCGCAAGAGCGAGTCGCTCTTCGCCGTCGTCGAGGTGTCCGCCGCGGACCACGCCGCCGGCGGGCCACGAGGTGGGAGGCCGGCTTGCATGCGCTTGGCGTGCACCGAGGACTCGAAGACGTAGCGGAGCGGGTCCCGGCGCGCCGGCCGCCGGCCGCGCAAGAGCGAGTCGCTCTTCCGCCGTCGTCGAGGTGTCCGCCGGTAGCGGAGCGGGTCCCGGCGCGCCGGCCGCCGGCCGCGCAAGAGCGAGTCGCTCTTCGCCGTCGTCGAGGTGCCCGACGCGGACCACGCCGCCGGCGGGCCACGAGGTGGGAGGCCGGCTTGCATGCGCTTGGCGTGCACCGAGGACTCGAAGACGTAGCGGAGCGGGTCCCGGCGCGCCGGCCGCCGGCCGCGGAAGAGCGAGTCGCTCTTCCGCGTCGTCGAGGTGCCCGCCGCGGACCACGCCGCCGGCGGGCCGCGACGTCGGCGGCCGAGCTCGGATGCGCTTGGCGTGCACCGAGGACTCGAAGACGTAGCGGAGCGGGTCCCGGTCGCGCCTCGGCGCTTGGATACCCGAGGTCAACGACTCGACGTCATCAACGTCGCGCTCAGGGACCACGCCGCCGCCGGGCCACGAGGTGGGAGGCCGTGTGTTGGTGGGGGAGCGGGGGAGGGGGGCGGGTGAGGGGGGGGGGGGTCGACACGGGGCGGGCGTGAGCCAATCGGGGGATATTTGGACGCGGGAGGAGACGATTGCGTGCGTCGAGCTGCTTTGAAATTTTCGAGCTCCTCGTCGAGACGGCCTCCTCCTCGTCGGCCGAGGTCGTCGTCGTCGTCGCCGCGGGCTGGTGGTCGGCGCACGCCTCCGGGCAGGCCTCGTGGGCCGCGCGCCCGTCCTCGCCGACGATGCCGCAGCGGCGCGGGGTTGCGCTCGACGTTGTGGCAGGTCTTGATCTTGCCCTTCGTGTTGAAGGTCCAGACGGCGGGCGCCTCCTTGCACCCTTCTCGAGGTTGCCCTCGAAGCGAAGCTTGCGGCCCGCGAGCCGAGCGCAGTCGTTCGAGGGGTTCGTGCCCCAGTGCCACTTCGGGTCGTCGCCGCAGCAGACGCCGCACGCCGCGGGGCACGCGTCGCGCGCGATCACGCCGTCGGCGCCCGCCTTGCCGCAGCGGCCCGGCCGCGTGCGCACCCAGAGGCAGTCCTTCTTCTTGTGGCCCTTGTAGCGCCAGGACGTGGAGTCGGTGCCGGGGCACGTGGGGAGCGAGTTGGCGGCGGAGGCGACGAGCACGAACTTGAGGAGATGATGCATGACCTACGAGCGGGTTCGTGGACGCCCGGCCGGAGGTCGTCGTGCGCGCGCGCGCGGACGTCGTGGGGCGCGCGGACGACGCGGGCTCGCTCGGCTCCGTCGCGAAGGACGTCGGTCGATCGAAGATCGAAGTCGGTTCGGCGAACGAGCGGAGCCGCGGGGCCCCCGGGGGGGGGGGATGTAGCGAAGTGGCCCTCGCCGCCCCCCGGGGCGACGACGACCGCGCCCCGGGGGGTGACGGCCCCCCGGGGGGGGGAACGGGCGAAATGGTGGTCGTCGGGAACGTTTTTTTTTGGTACGGTGCGGGCGTCGCGAAAGCGGCTAAGAGCGTAAAAGCGGGGCGTTTCTTTCGGGGGGCGAATTGGGACGCCGGGAGGCCACGAGAGAGGTACGAGGTCTGAGTGCGAGGCATGGCGAGCGTGCGGTGAGCGTGGAAGGTCGAACGGATCAGGGCGCTGGTTTGGCTGACGACCGGTCGATGGGCCGCGTCCTCACTGACCCAGCCTGGTCCCAGGCCGTTCAAGCACTCACACCTCCTAGTCTCCTCCTATCACGCCTCTATCTCCTCTTCGTCGCGCCGCGCCCCCCGCGCCGCCGTTATGCTGCGCGGTGCCCTACCAGGTCCCGAGGACGGCGCAGTGGCGGTAGCCGCAGGAGAGCTTCGCGAGGCGGAAGCCGTCGAGCGCGGCGACCTTCTTCGGGTGCGGGTGGCGCTGCTTGTCGCCGTGGCCGAGGCACTTGGAGGAGCCGGCGCCGAAGGAGTAGAGGTCGCCGTCGGCCGTCTCCGCGAGCGTGTAGGCGCCGCCGCAGTGGACGGCGACGGGCTCGGGCGCGCCGCCGGCGCCGTCGCACTCGAAGACGTGCGCCGCGGGCTCGAGCGCGTTCTTCGCGCCCCACTGGAGGAGGGCGCCGGATGGCGTGACGACGGCGGCGTGGCTGTGGCCCGCGGCGACGTGGACCGCCGTGAGGGGCGACCCGTCCGGTAGGTCGATGGGCCGCGGCAGGTCCTCGAGCGCGTAGACGTCCATCGCTAAACCGCCGCCGAGCCCGAGCTGGCCCTGGTCGTTGCGGCCCCAGACGCGGACGACGCCGGTGGAGTCGCGGCAGATCGTGAAGGCCGACCCGGCCTCGAGCTGGACGACGTCGACGTCGTCGAGCGCCGCGACGGGTTCGGGCGCGAGCACGTCGCCGGAGCCGCCGTTGCCGTTGCGGCCGTGCTCGCCCGCGCCGCAGGTCCAGACCTCGCCGTCGTCCGTGAGGAAGACGCTGTGGCCCTCGCCGGCGCCCAGGGACGCGACACAGGCGCCCTCGAGCGCGCCGGCGACCGGCGCGGGCGCGTAGCGGTGGCCGCGGTCGCCCGAGCCGAGCTGGCCGCCGCCGCTGAGCCAGGAGCCGCCCCAGCCCCAGGAGTAGACGCGGCCGTCGCTGTCGAGCGCGAGGCTGTGGCTCTCGCCGCAGGCGACGGCGACGACGTCGACGCCCGCGAGCGCGGCGACGCGCGCGGGCGCCTTGCAGTCGGCGTCGTCGCCGTGGCCGCACTTGCCGAAGTCGCTCTTGCCCCAGGACCAGACGGCCCCGTCGCCGTCGACGGCGAGCGTGTGGTTCGTCCCGCAGGCGACGTCGCGCAGCACGAAGCCCTCGAGCTGGCGCGGCGCCAGCTCCGCGTACTGCTGGAGCACGCCCGACAGGGCGAAGGGCGTGTGGCCCAGCTGGCCCTCCGTGCCCTCGCCCCAGGTGAGGCACACGGGCGACGTCGCACTCGCCAGGCACCGCCGGGCCACGGCCGACGGCGCCGGCAAGCGGAGAGCGCGGGCGGAGAGTGCCATGCTTCGCCGAGGATGCGCGATGGTGAAGTCTTCGTTGAACACGATAACACGACGCTGCCCCGCTCGAGGCGACGCGATGCGAGTAGGCCACGCGAACTAAAAACTGCGTGGGATGCGGCCGCGCGCGTCGCGGTCGCGGCCGTGCGCGCTGGCGGCCGTGGGCCTGCTCGCCGCCGCGGCGGTGCTGGGCATGCACGGGAGCCGCGTGCTCTTTGAGCGCGACGTCGCGGCGCGCGACGCCCAGGCGGCCGTCGTCGCGGCGCTCGAGGCGCGGCTCGCGGCGGCCGAGGCGCGGGCGGCCGAGGCCGCGCGCCGCGAGGCGGCCGCGGCCGCGGCGGCCGCGGCGGCCGTCGAGGCGGCCGCGGCGCGCCGCGCGCCGCCGCCGGAGGCCGCGCCGCCGCCGCCGGAGGCCGCGCGCGCGGCCGCGGCCGCGGCGCTCGCCGCGCCGCGCCGCGACTTCGGCGCGGCGCTCGCCGCCGCCGTCGCGGTGCTGCCGCCGGCCGCGGGGGACCCGCGCGGCGACCTCGGCGCGCGGCTCGCGTGGACGATGATGGACGAGAAGTACGCGGCCGACATGCTCTTCGACGTCGCGCACATGGCGCGGCACGCCGCGGGCTTCGCCCGCCTGCTCGTCGTCGCCCTCGACGACCCCACGTTCCGCGCGTGCGCGGCCGGCGGCCTCCCGGCCGCGCGCGCGGGCGGCGCCGCGGGCCTCCGCGACGCCATCCAGTCGTCCAAGTTCTTCGTGAGCCGCTGGCTCGCGGAGCGCGGCGTCGACTTCGTCTTCTTCGAGGCCGACGTCTGGTTCCTGCGGCCCGCGCGCGACCTCTTCGCCTTCGCGGACCGGGCCAAGGTCGCGGCCGTCGGCGCGGGGCCGACGGCGCTCGAGGACCTCGACGTCTTCGTCGCCGCGCACCAGAACAACCCGACGTCGACGAACATCGGCGTCTACGCCGTCCGCGGCACGCGCGCCGCCGCGGCCTTCTTCGCCGACTGCGTCGCCGAGGCCGACGCGAAGCCCAAGGCCCACGACCAGCTCCTCTTCCACAACCTCCTCGGCTACCACCGCATGGCGCTCCACGGGTCGCCCGTGCCCAAGCAGGCCAACTGGAAGGACCGGCCGGGCACGCCGAAGCCCGACGAGCCCATCACGTCCGGCTTCATCGCGCCGCACGTCGGCGTGTCGTCCATCCTGCGCGCGCGCGGCGCCGGGACACGCGCGCGCCGGGGACCGCCGCGCGCCGACTCCCCCCCCCCCAGGCCGATCCTCACGCCGGACGCGGTCTTCGTCCACACGCTCGGCACGCAGCCCCTCGAGAGCCAGGAGGGCAAGAAGCGCCACGCGGGGCAGCAAAAGGGTGCGAAATTCCCAACTTCAAAGGCTCCTATCTCGGCCGTTTTCCACTCGTTTCGGCTGATTTTTGGACGAGCGATCATCTCTCGGAACGGTCTCGAAGCGTGGGTGCTGTTTCCGGAACGCGCGCGCGCGGAACACTCACGTTGAAGCGACGTTGAATCACCCTTTTGCTGCCCAGGCGCCACGCGAAGGAGCTCGGCGTCTGGCACGGCCTCGGCGCGCCGCCGGGCGCGCCGCCGTACTACGGCGCGGCCGCGCACGACGGCCGGACGCGGTACCTCGCGCTCGACGGCGCGCCCATGGGCGCCGTGTCCCTCTGCGAGAAGGAGGGCTACCACAACGGCCGCTTCGTCAAGGCGAAGCTCGCGGTCCTGCTCTGCCTCGCGCGCGCGACGGGCCGCGCGCTGCTCCTGCCCCGGGCCATCGTCGACTACCACACCTACTTCCTCTGGCCCTTCTTCGACCTCGCCTCCGCGGGCGACCTCGTGGAGATCCGCGAGACGAACTTCGCGTCGAACCCGCGCGCGTGGGCGACGGGGCGGCAAATGGGTGATTCAACGTCGCTTCAACGTGAGTGTTCCGCGCGCGCGCGTTTCGGAAACAGCGCCCACGCTTCGAGAGCGCTCCGAGAGATGATCGCTCGTCCAAAAATCAGCCGAAACGAGTGGAAAACGGCCGAGATCGGAGCCTTTGAAGTTGGGAATGTCGCACCCTTATGCTGCCCAGGTGGGCGAACGCGACGCACCCGTTCGCGTCGACGCACCGCGCCAAGCTCGGCCGGCGCGCCGTCGGCGTCGTCGACGGCGACGGGCCGCCGTCCTGGTACGCGGCGGGCGCCGGCGGCCTCGTCGACGCCTGGGCCGACGCGCTCCAGTTCGGCGCGGCCGCGGAGCTGCTCCTCGTGGACCTCGCCTTCGTCACGGGCGACTTCGTCGCCGCGCTCACGAACTGCGACGACCGGGCCAAGTGCGCGCGGACCCACGGCATCCCGGCGGCCGTCGTCGACTACTTCTTCCGGCTGCGGTGGTGCGGCGAGACCGTCGACCTCAAGCGGCCCGCGGCGTCGACGTTCCAGGGCTGGGACTGCTACGGCCGCGGCAAGCCCCACAGCAACGCGAAGAAGCGCTAAAAAAAACGGGCCCTTAGTCCATGGGCGCCGGGATGCCCAACAGGCGGAGCAGGTCCGCCTTCTCGTAGCAGCCCGACGTGTCGAGCGACCTGCGGGCGCACTCGTACTTGAGCGCCATGACGGACGACGCCGCGGTCAGCTCCTCGTCGACGGACGCGATGCCGTCGTCCGACGCGTCGTCGCGGAGCGGCGCGATGCCCAGGAGGCGGAGGAGGTCGCCCTTCTCGTAGCAGCCCGAGATGTCGAGCGACCGCCGCGCGCACTCGTACTTGAGCTCGCGGATGCTCGAGTCGGCCGTGAGGTCGTCCTGCTCGGACTCGACGCCGCCGTCGTCGTCGTCGTCGTCGGCGTCGTCGGCGCTCGAGCCCGCGCTGTGGCGCGCGCGCTCCGCGTCCGCCGCGGCCGCGTTCGCCGAGAGGTAGAAGAAGGCGGCCATGACGCCGAAGACGACGCACTGGACCAGCACGCCCGCGTCGACGGACCAGCCGTCGTCGTAGCCCCGGCCGTCGAAGCCGTGGAACTGGTCGAAGCCGGCGAACTCGTCGACCGGGACGTGGTACACGCGGCCGTTTCGGACGACGCGCACGAACTGCGGCTGGCGCCCGCGGCCCCGCGGCGCCTGGCGGAAGTTGGCGCCGAAGCCGTGCATGTTCTGCATGTTCCGGAACGGGTCGCCGCCGCCGCCGCCGCCGCGGGGGAAGCCGCCGCCGCCGCCGCCGCCGCCGTACGCGCGCTCGTGGTCGTAGTCCCGCCGCTGCGCCGCGTCGGAGAGCACCTCGTAGGCCGACGCGATCTCACTGAACTTCTCCGCGGCCTGCGCGTTGCCCGGGTTCTTGTCCGGGTGCCACTGCTTCGCGAGGGAGCGGTAGGCCTTCTTGATCTCCGCCTCCTTGGCCCTCGGCTTCACGCCCAGCGTGCGGTAGTGGTCGCCGGCGGCGCGCCAGGCCAGCGCCGCGGCGACGAGCGCACCGAGCGCGCGCATGCTGCGAGGCCTGGCGCGCGCGACGGGCAGCGGCTGCGGCGGGATCATCACCTGGCGCGCAGACTGGTGCGCAAAGTTGAGAAGTTCACGGAGGCTTCAAGGAGCCATGTTGACCTCGGATCCTCGTTGTATCTACACCCGGACCCGCCCCCCCCCGCCCCTAGGTGACCGTCGGCTTGCGCGGCCGCGACCGCCGCCGCGCCTCGCCGGCCGCGATCTTCGCGCAGCCGAGCGCGACGACGACGACGGTGACGGCGACGGCGCCGGCGACGGCGAAGGCGTAGGCGCGGAGCGCGAGGAGGAGGGGGCCCGACGCGCCCGAGGAGCCGGCCCGGTCCGGCGGGGACGCGTACTGGAGCCCCGCGATCGCCGTCGAGCACGACGGGAACGTGAGCGCGACGAAGCTGAGGTCGAAGCCGCCTGGGCAGGAAAAGAGAGATTCAACGTCGCTTCAACGTGAGTGTGCCGCGCGCGCGCGTTCCGGAAAAAGCACCCAGGCTTCGAGACCGTTCCGAGAGATGATCGCTCGTCCAAAAATCAGCCAAAACGAGTGGAAAACGGCCGAGATCGGAGCCTTTGAAGTTGGGAATGTCGCTCTCTTTTGCTGCCCCGGAAGCCGCGGTCGAGGATCGGGCCGCGGCGCGCCCAGAGGCAGTAGAGCGTGAGCCAGAAGACGAGGGTCGCGACGGCGAAGAGCGCGTGGCACAGCGCCTGCTCCGCGCGCGCGTCGCCGAGGAGCACGTCGCCGAGGCCCTGGAGCGCCGCGCCGCGGCGGACGACCGCGAAGGTCAGCGCGTTGAGGGAGCAGGGCGCCTGCATCATGGACACGGCGCAGTTCGGCGCGATGTCCGGGTCGCGCACCGTGCGCCAGACCTGCCAGGGCACGAGGAGCACCTGGAGGCCCATCGCGTACCACAGCGACGCGCGCACGAGCCAGTGGCCCGCGCCGAGCGTCGCGACGCCGGCGATGGTCGTCACGGCGCAGTTGACCGTCGGCGGGTTCCAGAGCGGCTCGGGCTTGAGGCCCGCGGCCCAGCACGACGCGAGGAACGCGGCGATGACGGCGACCTGGGCGGCCGCGCCGACGTGGATGCCCGGGCCGACGCACGCGGGGCACGGCAGCGCGACGACGCGGACGAGCACGAAGAGGTACGTCATCTGGTAGGCGCCGTAGGCGAAGCAGAGCTGCGGCGTCGTCGCCTCGAGGCGCAACCGCGCGCGCGGCGACGCGCAGACGCGCGCGGTGAACGCCAGCCACAGGAGCGTCGCGAAGCACATGGCGATCCAGTAGGGGACGACCGTGAGGTTCAGGCCCCGGTCGACGAGCTCCTTGCAGACGCCCGCGAGGCCGCAGAGCCCCAGCGCGAGGCCGTTCGTGCCCACGGGCAGCGACTGGAGCAGCGACTCCTCGCGCTCCGAGGGGTCGCTCAAATGCGACGCGGTCAGCGACCGCGCGAACACGGGCGTGAGGCGCGACGGCGTCGGCAGCGTGGCGCCGCGCGTCGCCGCCGGCGCGCCGAGCTCCTCGTCCAGCGCGAAGGTGATGGACTTGGACTTCTTAGACTCCTTCCTCGGGGGCGGGGCGTTGTCGACCTCCAGGCTCTCCCTCAGCGGCGGGTCCGACATCTTGTGCACGGGGTTCATGTGTTTGGACACGGGTCGCGTTTTCGGTCGAGAGCTGCCCGGGGGGCGTCCACCCAAGTAGAAGGCAGGTCAATAACGAACCTGCTCCTTGACGCCAAGCTGCCCTGGCTGAAACGTGCCGATTATGGTAGCATCGTCCCAGCCACGACCGCGCGGATGATGACCTAGCCGCTTTTGACCCATGGTCCGCAAGGTCGGCGCGTCGTCGCGGAAGCCGGCCAAGGCCGCGGCCGTCGTCACGCTCGACTCGCGCACCGTGGACCTGCCGCGGTCGTCGAACCGCGTGCCCGCGGGCCTCGAGCCGAAGCGGCGGCGCGCGAAGCCCCAGCCGCCGCCCGGCCGCGCGCCCGGCCGCCGCGGCGGCGCACCGCGGCACGCGTCGTCCGAGTCCGCGGCGCCGGCCGAGCCGGCGCCGCTCGCGCTGGCGCTCGCGGGCACGGCGCCGCCCGAGGGCCCGGCGCCCGGCGCGTCGGAGCCCTGGGAGCGCTGGCTCGGCGGCCAGCCACCGCGGACCCCGGGCCAGCCGACGCACGCGAGCTCCGGCGAGGGCGACTCGCTGAGCAGCAAGCTCACGCGCGAGCTGAGCCTGAGCCTGCCCGCGGCCGCGGGCGGCGCGGGCGCGGGCGGGCTCGGCGGCGGGCTGAGCCACGGGAGCAGCGAGAGCTCCTTCGGGCCGGGGTCGCTGCACCAGGGGTCGTCCCTGGCCCTGTCGCGGCGCACGCCCTTCGAGTCGCCGCTCGGCCACCGGCCCTGGGCGCCCGTCAGGGCAGCAAAAGGGTGCGAACTTCCCAACTTCAAAGGCTCCAATCTCGGCCATTTTCCACTCGTTTCGGCTGATTTTTGGACGAGCGATCATCTCTCGGAGCGCTCTCGAAGCGTGGATGCTTTTTCGGGAACGCGCGCGCGTGGAACACTCACGTTGAAGCGACGTTGAATCACTCTTGTGCTGCCCAGGCGCCCGTGCCGCCGGAGAAGGACCTCGACGATCTCCGCGGCGCGGGCCCCCCGGCCGCGCCGGCGTCCTACGACGTGCGCTCCGGCGAGTGGCACGTCTGCTTCGACGAGCCGCCCGTCGAGGGGCCCGCGCCCGCGCCGGCGACGACGCCGCGGCCGCCCGAGGCGCGGCCGCCGAGCTCGGCGCGCGCGCCGTCGACGCGCGGCTCGCTCCGGTCCGCGACGTCCGACGGCGCCGACGAGCTCCGCGTCGCCGAGGCCGCCGTGCCCGCGGCGCTGCTCGACGACGTCGCGCAGCGGAAGCGGCTCCGGGGCGCGACGGACACGTCGCTGTCGCGCGCGGCGCCGCGGCTCCGCTTCGGCCGCGAGCTCCGGCGGTACCTGCCCAAGGGCGACCTGCTGCGCGCGTGCAAGCGCGGCGCGTCGCGGCTGGCGCCGAGCCGGCGGCCGCCGAGCGCGGGGCCCAACACGCTCTTCGGCGACCTCAAGCGGCGCGACGCGGCGTCGCCGCGGCCGCGCGCGGACGGCGGCGTCGCGCCCTTGGACGGCACGCTCCAAGACGTCGCGGCCAAGTTCGCGGCCCTGAAGCCGTTCCTCGACCGCCACGCGCACCTCGCGGCGCGGGCCGCGGACGCCGTCGCGGCGAGCCCGCGGCGGCCCGGCGCGGCCAAGCCCGTCCGGCTCCGGCGGCGCTCCGACGACGAAAACGCGAGCTTCGGCGGCCAATCGGACGAGCTCGTCGCGGGCCGGCCCGCGCGCCGCGCGTCGAACGTGTCCGCGCGCGAGGCCGCGCTCCTCGACGGCGTCGCCGTGCTCCCGAAGCTCGGCGACGCCCTCGGGGCCGCCTGCGTCGACCCGCTGCGGGGCTGGCTCGAGCTCCGGTGCCGCGAGCGCGCGGCCGTGCTCGGCGGCGCGCGCGGCGGCGCGGACGCGTGGTTCGCGGCGGCCGCGGCGCTGGCGCTGCGGGTCCGCGCGCGCGCCGAGGCCGCGGCGCGCGAGGAGGAGGCCCTCGTCGCCGAGGTGCGGGACCTGCGGGCGAAGCACGGCGCGGTCCGCGCGACGCTCGCGCAGGCGCGGCGGCTCCTCCGCGACGAGGACGCGCACCTCGACGGCGTCACGCGCGCCGTCGCGCGCCTCAAGGAGGCGGAGGCGCAGGCGGGCAAGAACAAGGCCGCGGCGAAGATCCAGCACCTGTTTTTTCGGTGGCGCGAGGGCCGGCTGAACCACGCGGCCGCGCCGTCGGACGACAGCAGCGACGCCGCGACGCATTCGCGCCGCGGCTCCGAGGCGTCGCTCTCCGACGGGTCCCACGCGTCCCTCTTCTTCTCCAGCGACTCGGGCAGCGGGCACGGCGACGGCCAGGCCGACGTGACGGACTCGTCGTCGGGCTCCGCGAACGACTCCGACGACTACTTCGACGAGGCCGACGCGCGGAACGCGGACCCCCAGGACCCGGCGACCAAGGCGGCCATGGTCGCCGCGGAGCAGGCGCGCCTCGAAAGACGCGAGGGCGGTGCGCCGGCGCCGGCGCCCGGCGACGACGACCGGAGCTTCGGGAGCGCGTCGACGGCGTCCGCGCGGCGCGACGCGAAGCAGCCCCTCGTCGCGCCGGGCTTCCGCAAGTCCCTCGACGGCCGCGCGAAGGAGCCGGCGCCGGCGCCCGCGCCCCGCGACGCGACCGAGGCCGCCGAGGCGGACTTTGGCCAGATCGCCGCGGGGGGGCTGCCGCCGAGCCCGCAGCGGAAGAACTCCTTCGCGCTCAACGTCTTCCACACGCCGCGCGACCTCGGCGTCGCCGCGGAGCTCGACGTCGACGACGACGGCGCCTACGACGACGACGTCGGCTACGCGTCCCACGCGTCCACGGGCACGCTGGCGACGACGGACGACGACGACGACCTGAGCGCCGTCGGCGGCGGCATGTTCCACCACGCCTCCACGAAGGACCTGCGCGACGACGACGACGACACGACGGCGTCGCCGGCGAAGAGCCGGCGCAGCCGCCGCGGCCGCAAGTCGCGCGCGACGCGCCGCAAGTCCGCGACGGCGACGTACGTGCTCCACGTCGCGGAGCGCGCGGCGACGGTCATCCAGGCGCGCTGGCGGGGCGTCGTCGGCCGCCGCGCCGCGCGCGCGGCGGGCCTGCGGCGAAGGCGCGCGGCGGCGTCGGCCGTCGCGCGGCTCGCGCGCGCGGCCGCGGCGACGTCGACGGCCGCGGCCGCGCACCTCGAGCTCATCCTGGGGCTCCGGCGGCCCGAGGCGTCGGCGCCGGGTACGCCCGCGTCGTCGCTCTTCCAGAGCCCGCCGGGCACGGCGGGGAGCCACCCCCGGCCCGAGAGTCGCGGCGTCGACGAGCTGGGCCGCCCGTGCACGCTCGAGGAGGAGAAGGAGTGGCGCTACGAGAAGAAGTTCGGCCGGGGCTACGCGCGGCGCGACCGCGTCCTCGCGCGCGCCGCCGCGGCGAACGCGGCCCTGCTGCTCGGGGTGAGGGACGCGGCCGCGCGGCTCTTCCGCGTCGCGGAGAGCTGCCGGGCGCACGGCCGGCGGTCCGTCGCGGCGCGGGCGCTGCGCCAGGGCATGAACCGCTGGCGCGAGCGGCGGCCCGTGACGCGGGGCCCCATCGACCTCGCGCGCATGTACGCCGCGGAGATGGAGAAGCGGAGCTACGGCGACCGACGAGAGCGACGGGGACGCGTCGCTCGCGACCGCGTCGCTGGACCTCAAGCTGCCGCCGACGCGGCCGGGGTCCGCGGGCTGGCAGACGGACGGCGACGGCGACCTCGAGGACCTGGCGCCCTGGGACGAGGACCGGGACCGCGCCGCGCGGACGCCGGGCGCGCAGCTCGCCGTCGCGGCGGCCGCCGCGTCGGGCGCGGCCGCGCCCGACGCGGCGGCCTTCGAGGCGGCGCCCGCGTCCGTCGTCGAGGGCGACGCGCCGCGGCGGTCGAACCGGGAGCCGTCCCTCGCCGCGGCGTCGCCGGGCGCCGCGGCGGAGCCCGCGCCCGCGCCGGCGGACGAGTCGCGGCCGCCGCCGGCGAACCCCATCGACCTCCTCGCCATGTTCGCCGCGCACAAGGAGGAGGCGGCGGCCCAGGCGGACGTCGAGAGCCGCGGTCGGTCCAGCGGCGTCGCCGCGCCGCCGTTCCGGCCGCCCGCGCCGCCCGCGGACGAGGCCGCGGCGCCCGTCGCGGGCGCGACGCGGCGAAGCTCCGTGCAGCCCGCGGTGAACCGGCTCCTCACGCGGCGCCAGAGTTTAGCGTTGGACGCCGCCGTCGCCGCGGAGCGCCAGGCCGTCGCCGCGGCCGCGCCGCCGGGCCAGGGCCGGCGGTCGTCCGTCGCGGCGATCGCGCGGCGCGGCTCGTTCGCGGGCGCCGCGCGCCGAGGGTCGCTCGCCGGCGGCCGCGCGTCGGTCCTCGACGCGACGCGGAGCCTCGGCTGGCTGCGGAAGCGGTCCAACGAGCTCATCGAGGGCGTCGGCGCGCGGCTGCGGGCGGGCCGGTGCCTGCCGCCGCCGCCGGACGGCCTCGCGCCCTTTCCCGCGGGCTTCGTCCCTCCTTTAGGGTTCGCGCCGGACCCGGCCCGGCCCCTCGGCGTCGAGTTCCGGCGGGCCATGCGCGCGGGCTGGTGCCTGGGCACGCCCGAGGGCCGCGACAAGGAGGAGATCGCCCGGGTCGCCGGCGCGGCGTGGACCGCGCGCGTCGACGAGAAGGCGCGGCTCGCCGCGCTGGGGATGCTGGTGGACGGGGACGCGGCCGGCGTCGCCTTGGACGAGAACCGGGTCTGCGTCGAGTACGGCTACTCCGGCGCGCGGTGCTGCGACGCCGCGTCCGTGCTCCGGGCGACGGTCGCGACGCAGCGCGGCGGCGGCAAGGCGTCGCTGGAGCAGGCCATGCTCGAGCTCGTGACGTCGATGTTGAGTTTAGCCGACGCCGCGGACGCGCGCGGCGCGAAGATGGACGAGTTGGTCGAGCTGCTCAACGGCGTGTTGGCGCCGCTCACGGCGTCGCCGGGGCTGGGGTGCCTCGTGCTCGTCACGGAGCTCGTCAACGACACGCGGCTGGGGCGCGTGTTGGTGGGGCCCGCGGCGGACGGGTCCGCGGGAACCGCGCCCTGGCTCGACGGCGTCGGCGAGGCCGACGAGCCCGGGTCGCTCTTCACCGCCGGCGGCCGGCGGAAGATGCCGGGCTACATGCGCGCGACGGCGTCGACGTCGGACCACAAGGTGCGCCTCGGGCGCCGGGGCGCGACGAACCCGGCGCAGCTCAACAACGACGACGACGCGAGTTTGGTGTCCGCGGCGATGCTCGACAAGGACGTCGGCGCGGGCGACCTGCGGTCCGTGGCGTCGTCCGCGGTCTCGAAGACGGGGCCCGTGGCCAACAAGGCCGCGGCCGACGCCTTCGGGGAGCGGCCGCGGCTCCTCGCGCTCGGCCACGCTTTACGGCTCGTGCCCTGGCTCTTCGGCGTCGACGCGGCGGAGGTGAAGCGCGCGCTCCGCGCCGTCGCCGACGACGAGGACCGGTCCGCCGTCGCCGCGCTCGACGAGGACTCGTCGGAGTCGGAGCCGGAGATCGAAGCCCAGGACGAGGACGCGCGCGAGCGCGCCGCGATGTCGTTCCTCGCGCCGCCCGCGGCTTCCCGGAAATACGGCGCGGCGCGCGCGGCCCGGCGGCCCGTCCCCGAGGACGCGTCGACGTCCTTCTCGCGCGTGTCGACGGCGTCGGACTCGTCGGAGGACCCGGAGTTCCTCAAGAGCGAGGACGCGAGCGGCGACGCGGACGAGTCGACGCCGGGCGTCGCCGCGGGCCTCGCGCTCCGGCGGGTGCAAACGACGCCCTTCGGCCACCTGCGGCGTTCCTCCGCGACCTGCTGGACCTGCCCCAGGTCGCGCCCGACGCGGACCTGCTCATGCCGCGGCCCCACATGGTCGCGATCGCCGTCGACGGCTTCCGGAATCTCTGCGTCCGGCACCACCTCGAGCAGTGCCACCGGCTGCGCTGCGCCCACGTGACGTCGCTGCTGTTCTCGTCCGTGGACGTGCGCGGCGACGGCGCCCTGAAATACGCGGAGTTGTTGAGCGCGTTCACCGTCGTCGCGCCGGACATGCGCGAGCCGCAGTTCCGGGCAGGGCAGGACAAGGGTGATTCAACGTCGCTTCAACGTGAGTGTTACGCGCGCGTGCGTTCTAGGAAAAGCATCCACGCTTCGAGACCGTTCCGAGAGATGATCGCTCGTCCAAAAATCAGCCGAAACGAGTGGAAAATGGCCGAGAGAGGAGCCTTTGAAGTTGGGAATTTCGCACTCTTGTCCTGCCCAGGTTCCGCGAACTCTACGAGCAGGCCGTCTACGAGACGCAGTCGCCGGAGGTCGACTACGACTGCTTCCGGAAGCTCGTGGCGTCGTCCGTCGACGAGCTCGTGCGCAAGGGCGACAACGACACGCTGACCGTCTTCCTCGACAAGGTCGCGGCGGACGACGTCTCCGACCTCTGGGTCCAGGAGATCGTGCCCGCGCGCCGCGCGCTGAAGCGGGATTTGTTGGGCGACCACGCCCCGGCGAAGACGCCGCCGGCGACGACGAACGGCACGGACACCTACTTCCGCGACGCGTCGGGCGCCTACGCGACGCCCAAGGTCGCCGCGTCCGACGACGACGACGCGTCCTTCGCGCGGTCCGCGAACTCCTACGGCGACGAGGCGCCGAGCCCGCCGAAGCCCTGGGGCGGCTCGCCGACGCGCAAGGGGGGCACCTATCGGCCGTAACCGCGTCGACGAGTTTCGCGCGCGCCGCGGCTGGGGACGGAAGTGGGACGGTGCCGCCCGTTGGCGGGGGATCTATGTGCACCTTCGGCTCCGGCCATTGATACGACTCGGCCGGTTTCAGAGCTCGATAGCGCTATCAAGGCGGCCGCCACTCGCAGCCGTCGCGGCGCGTTGATCGGGAAGGGGCGGGCCGCTGGGTCGTATCGGCCGCCATGGATCTCGGAGATATCATGGACAGCGCGGGCCGGCGTCGACGACGAAGCGCCGTGTTTCGTCGACGCCGCCGCGCGCGCGCGCGCGCCGCCGCGGGCTGCCCTCGCGCGGCGGCCGCGGCGGCGCGGGGCGCGGCGGCCGCGCCGCGCGAGAGCATCGCGCGCGCGCGCGCCGCCCCCGCGCGCGCGACGGCGGCGCCGCCGCGGCGGACCGGACCGGACCTGACGCGCGCGCGGCCGCGACACCGCGGCGCCCCGCAGGCGTGAAGCTCGGCAACGCGATGCAGTCGAGCGACAACCCGGACCCGCGCGAGGAGTACGCGACGTTCCCCGAGGACGAGCTCATGGCCTTCTTCGGCCGCGCCGAGGATAGCGGGTTCCTGACCATGGAGAACATCCTCAAGGGCCCGCTCGGCTTCTGGATGTTCACGCTGTGGATGTCGCGGCACGCGGAGAAGACGTTCCACAACGTGGGCCAGTTCATCGTCGAGGTCGCGACGCTCAAGCTCGCGCGCGGGAAGCACATCCAGGAGCAGAAGGACAAGATCATGTCGAGCTTCCTGCCGGAGATGAACAGCGCCGTGAACGAGATGAAGCCCGAGTACGTGGACAGCGACATGTGCCGCAAGGTGCGCCCGCCCGTGGGCGACAAGACGCTCTACCAGAAGCACATCAAGGAGGGCAACGTCGGCAACATGCAGCGCGAGTCCGCGTCGAAGATGAGCCGCCGCGCGTCCGTCGCGTCGACGTCGAAGAGCTTCTGGCCCGTGCTCATGGGCGGGTCGCTCGTCGACTCCAGCGCGCCGCCCCAGTCCCAGTTCGACGTCATCGAGGCGCTCCTCGTGGACTACTGCGAGAAGGTCGCGCTGCCGCTCTGGCTCAACAAGGACACGAACCCGAAGCTCCTCGAGTACCTGCGCTACCTCAAGATCCAGCACGAGGTGCCCCCGACGGAGAAGACCTTCAACGTCTTCCGGACCATGGGCAAGGGCGGCTTCGGCCTCGTCAAGGGCTGCCGGACGTTCACGACGGGCCGCATGTACGCGATGAAGGAGATGGACATGAAGCACGTGAAGCAGAAGAAGTGCAAGACGCTCTGCGACCAGGAGCACTGGGCCCTGTCGGACCCCCTGGTCTGCGACAGCCCCTTCTGCGTGAACATGAAGTACGCGTTCAAGACGGAGGCCGCGCTCTGCCTCGTCATCGACCTCATGATGGGCGGCGACCTGTCGTTCCACCTCGACAAGGCCGAGGGCCGCAAGATGCCCGAGAACTTCGTGCGCTACTACAGCGCGCGCGTCATCCTGGGGCTCGAGGTCATGCACGAGGCGAAGATCGTCTACCGCGACCTCAAGCCGGAGAACGTGCTCGTCGACGGCGACGGCCGGACGCGGCTCTCGGATTTGGGCCTCGCCGTGCCGTTGGCGCCGGGCTTGAAGGGCACGGCGGGCACGCCGGGCTACCTGGCGCCGGAGATGCTCCAGCACAAACCCTACGACCAGTCCGTGGACTGGTGGTCCTTTGGGTGCATGATCTACGAGATGGTCAACGGCGTGGGCCCGTTCCGCACGGAGGAGGCGAACAAGTTCGGCGGCGAGACGAACCTCCAAAAGGCCGTGAACAAGGCGACCTGCGAGATGGAGATCGAGTGGCCGAGCCACTTCTCGCCCGAGTTCACGGATTTGTGCAAAAAGATCCTGTGCCGCGACCCGGAGAAGCGGTTCAAGATCAAGGACATCATGAACCACGAGTGGTACAAGCCCCTGGACTGGGAGCTCATGCGCGCGGACCCGGACCCGGAGGAGATCGGCGAGGGCAAGCCCGAGTACCCGCCCATCGTGCCGGGCAAGAAGCTCAACATCGAGGACGCGGGCGACATCGGCGAGTTCGAGGACCTCGGCGACGCCGTCACCCTCGTGCCCGAGGACTTCCCCGAGAAGGAGTGGCTCTACGTGTCCGAGAAATACTTCCAGTCCGAGGTCGTCTGGCTCCTCCAGTTCCGCGAGAAGGACGGCGGCGCGCCGCCGCCCGCGGCCGCGAGCAGCGGCGCGTGCCAAATCCTCTAGAGTCCGCCATCCCTCCCGCATCCCCCCTCGCCCCCCCGCCCCCTTCCGAAGCTCCGCCCCGCGCGCCGTGTGGCGCCGGGTCCGACCCCCACGACGAAGCCGCCCGCCGGGTCCCAGCGGCGCGAATTCCGGCGCCGACCGGAGACGCGGGCGCGCCGCGCCTTCGGCGGCCGCCCCGTAACGGCGACGAATCTGGGACCTTAGGGCAGCCCCGCGGTCTCCGGGTGCTCCCAGAGGTGGGCGCAGCGCCTCATGCTGCTGTAGTTGGCGAAGTCGTCGCCGCGGCCCGCGGCGGCCGCGTCGAGGTCCGCGAGGCAGGACGCCGCGCAGCCCGCCGGCGCGAGGCGCCGCCGCGCCGCGGCGTACTGCCACCACCAGTCTGCGCGGGGGAGGGGGGCGTGAGCGTCCGGAGGGAGGGGGCGCCGCGCGCGCGCGCGCGGCCCGGCGGCGGCGCTTCCCGCCGCGCCGTGTCGGACGCCGCCGCTCCACCGCGCGCGCAGTGGTGGCCGCCGTAGCGCCGCGTCGCGAGCGGGCTGTCGAGGCCCGCGGCGACGCGGCCGCCGTCGCAGCCGTCCGCGCCGGGGCACATCCAGGGCTTCGGCGGCACGTTGAAGTGGAGGAAGTGGAGCCGCGTCGGGCAGGACCTGGGCAGCAAAAGGGTGCGAAATTCCCAACTTCAAAGGCTCCTATCTCGGTCGTTTCCCGCTCGTTTCGGCTGATTTTTGGACGAGCGATCATCTCTCGGAACGGTCTCGAAGCGTAGATGCTTTTTTCGGAACGCGCGCGCGCGGAACACTCACGTTGAAGCGACGTTGAATCACTCTTGTCCTGCCCTGGGCAGGACCACTTGGACACGAGCGCCGCGGTCCGCCGCCGCAGCCCGAAGAAGTACTCGACGAAGCCCTGGTCCGAGAAGCCCGCGCCCATCGACGCCCAGGACGGGTCCCCGTCCGAGTTCTTGCGCAGGGCCCAGGCGTGGGGCTGCTTGAAGGCGCCGCGGCCCCAGCCGTCGGCGTGGACGCGCTTCCGGTCGCAGACGCGCCGGCCGCCGCAATCGGCTTCGAGCGCGGCGCCGACGGCGTCCCACGTCGTCGCGTTCGGCGCGGCCAGGAGGTAGGCCGTGAGCACGGGCGTGCCGCTCGTCTGCTGGGCGACGAGCTCCGCCCGGGCGCCCGGCGCGCAGGTCGCGAGCGCGTCGGCGACGGGGCCGCAGGGCCGGCCCGCGGCGTCGTCCGCCGCGATCGCCGCGCCGCACGCGAGGTCGTACTCGAAGAGGAACGCCAGCGACCCCGTGACGACGCCGTCGATGTCGAGGAGCAGCGCGCGCGCGTAGCGCACGAGCTTGAAGACGTAGAGCTTGCGGAGCAGGAGGTAGTCGTCGAAGACCGCGTGCCTCCCGAAAGTCCATGCGCTCCGCGACGATCCCGTTCGCCTCCAGCGCCGCGACGAGCGGCCGCGACGCGCCGGCGTCGACGAGCGCTACGAAGTCGTAGGCGTCGCCGAGGCCGCCGTGGCGCTCGACGGAGTCGCGGAGCACGAGCGCCGCGCACAGCGACCGCGACCGCGGGCACGCGTCGCCCTTCTCGGCCCGGCCGACGCTCCGCGGCGTCCAGCCGTCGCGCTTGCCCGACGGCGCCGTCGTGAGCATCGCGACGACGGCGTAGGGTTTCTGGAGCGTCGCCGTCGGCGCGGGCGTCGGCGCGAGACTCACAGCCGCCGGCGCGGCGTGGATGACCGTCGCGGGCGCCGCCCGGATGCGCCAAAAAACAACACCGGCGCAGGCGGCGGCGAAGGCAAGCGCCGGCCACCGGGGCGTCCGCGCGCGCCGCCGCGGACCCATGCTGCTATCTCAAACCCATGTCACCGCCCTTTTTATGTTCGGCAAGTATCATTTTACTTGAAGATAAAATCTATTCGCAACGCATCAAGGCGGCTACCAGCTTTGGGCTGCTTGCTCGTTAATCAATCGCAGCGGGCAGCGCGGGCTCGGGGAAAAAAGCGGGCGGTCGCCGGGGTGTCGCGGAGACCGGAACGGGGGCCCCAGCCGGTCGCCGCGCAACCATGGACCGCGCGCGGCGTGCCATGCCCATCGGGAACAAGCAGTGCCACGCGCGCTTCGTGAAGAAGTGCCAGGAGACGCACAAGAAGAAGCTCCACGAGATGAAGTGCTCCATCGACAACCACGAGCCCAAGCGCCACCCCCACCTGCGCAAGAACCTGAAGAAGGAGCAGCTCATGGAGGAGCGCTACGCGGAGATCGAGCGCGACAACCGGCTCCTGCTGGAGAAGATGTCCTACATCATGCGACACTCGTCGCTGGACAACGACAACCAGATGCAGTACGCCCACTCGTTGAACCGCGAGCAGCGCAAGCGCGAGCTCCAGCGCATCACGCGCGAGAACCAGAACATCCTCGGCCGCATTCAGGCGGCGGAGCCGACGTACGACCACCTCGCCTGGGCGGAGCACGAGAAGCAGCACGAGGACTACATGAAGAACATCTGCGAGCTGCCCCTGGTCATCAACGGCACGCAGACCTACGAGGGGTCCGAGGACGAGGGCGTCCCCATGTGACCGCGCGTCCGCCGGACTCTCCCCCGCCCGCGCTCGCTCGGCTCACGTAAAACGGTGTCACCCAGGCGCGTCGTACATGCGCGGGTCGTCGTCGTTTCCCTTCCCCTTCCACGCGCTCGACCAGTCCGACGTGCCGTACATGAAGGTCAGGTTGATGCGGTAGGCGCCGTAGTCGCGCCGGAAGTAGAACGGCCGCGTCTCGTGGACGAGCTTCGACCGGAAGACGACGCAGCGGTTCGATTTGTGGTCCACGTCGACGAAGGCCGCGCCCGCGACGTGCCGCCGCACGGCCCGGAAGTCGCGGTTCGCCTCGGGGAACGGCACGTGGTCCGGCACGGACGCGCCGTAGACGCGGAGCCCGCCGGACCCGTCGACGAGGTTGTGCTCGTCGGCCGTGACCCAGCAGTTCACCGTAAAGGCGCCCTCGTCCGCGTGGGGCCGGATGCCCATGTCGCTCCTGTGGCCGTGGTACTTGTAGCCCCAGGCCTGGACGAGCCGCGCCTTGCCGATGACGGGCTCCAGCAGCGCCTGGAGCTCGTCGACGACCTGGAGCAGGAGGCCCGACGCGAGGCCGTCCTCGAGGTAGGCGCCCAGGTGGCCCCGCTTGACGTCGTACCACACCGTCGACTCGACGAGCTGCCGCCGCAACAGCGCGAGCGCGTCGTCCGCGAAGACGTCGTCCAGGACGAGCACGGACGCGCCGTCGTCCAGGGCGTCGCCGGCGCTCAGGGTCCGGCGGCGCACCGCGGGCGCCGCCAGCGCCGCCGGCGAGAAGACGTGCGCCGCGGCGTCGAGCGTCGCGAGCACCGCCAAAAACCGCGCGTCGTCGTCCGCGTCCGGCTCGTAGAAGTCCGGCTCCAGCAGCGACAGGAGCGACACGGTGTCCGTGTCGCCGTCGCCGCAGAGGGGCGCGAGGCGGTCCGCGACGCGCGCGTACGCGCCCGCGAGCTTCCGCGCCGCGTCGCCGTCGCTCCCGCCGGCGAGGCCGACGGCGCGCAACAGGTCGCGCACGTCGTCGTCGAAGCGAAAATCCGCGAGCGCCGCGAGGTGCGCGTACTGCGCCGCGTTGTGCCGGAGCTTCGCGGGCGTGGCGCCGAAGGCGCGCCGCGCGCCCGGCGGCCGGTCGTAGAGGGGCAGCCCGCCCATGGCCATGCGCACGCTCCGCCCCTCGTCGCCCAGCGCCACCTCGACGAAGTTGGCGCGCGCGGGCACGATCGACGACACGAGGGACTCGAGGAGCGCGGCCCGCGAGAAGTCCGCGGCGACGGCGGGCACGCGGCGCCGCCGCCGCAGCAGCTCGCCGAAGGCCGCCGCCGCGAGATCCGGCGTGCCCGCCCGCGCGACGCGCGCGACGCCCGCGAGGTTCAGGAGCGCGTCGCTCCGGTTGGCGGCGCCGAGGCCGTCGCAGCCGGCGGCCGCGGCCTCCGCGAGCTCCGCGGCCGCGAGCAGCGCGTCGCCCTCGCGGCTCCCCGGCGCCGGCGCGACGTTGGACACGAAGACGCCCGTCGCCTGGAGGAGCACCATGACCAGGAGGTGGGACCGCTCGAGGCCCGGGGCCGTCCAGGCGCGCTCGGCGTCGCCCGAGACGTAGCGGCTCAAAGCGCACGCGGCCGCCCAGGCGTCCCCGCGGTCCAGCAGCTCCGCGGGGCTGTCGTACCAGGACCGCTCGCGGGCGTCGTCGTCGCCGCAGGCCGCCGCGGCGGCGGCGGCGGCCGGCGACGGCCGCGGCGCCGCGCACGCGAGCGATCCGTAGAGGTCCGCGTACTGCGAAGCCATGCGGTCGAAACCCAAATCCCGGCCGCCGTCGAGGCCGCGCACGCGGCGCGCCGCGCGGGCGCCGCGGCCCGCCGCCGCCGCCGGGTCCTCGACGGCGTCGACGAGCGCCGCGACGAGCGCGGCGACGGACGGCGTCCTCACGATCGTGCCGTGGTCCGCGCGGGCGCCGAGGTACTCCGACACGCCCCCGACGCCGAAGCTCACGACGGGCACGGCCTCGGCCATGGCCTCGACGTTGCACATGCAGAAGGTCTCCTCGAGGACGTTGCTGTGGACGACGACGTCCATCGTCGTCGCGATCGCCGCGCGGACGTGCTCGGGCGCGAGCCAGCCCGCGAAGTGCATCGTCGCCGCGCCGGGTGCACTGTCGCCGTCGTGGAAGGCGGCCCCCGTCACGCGCAGGCCGAGGCGCGCCGCGAGGCCCTCGAGGGCCGCGCGCAGGGGCCCGTCGCCCAGGACGACGAACGACGCGGACGCGGGCCGGTCCGCGTAGAGCGCCGCGACCGCGGCCGCGGCCCGCACGAAGAGGCCCGGCGACTTCTGGGGCGCCAGGCGGGACACGAAGCCGATCCGCAGCGGGCGCGAACCGTTCCGCCGCGGCGGGGGCGCCGCGGCCGCGCCGTCGAGCGTAATTCCCGGCGGGACGACGTAGAGCGGCGCCGCGGCGCCGCGCGAGGCCCAGAACCTGGCCGCGAAGCCGCTCGGGAGCACGAGGCCCGCGACCGGCGTGGCGTCCGCGGCGCCGGCGCCCGTCGGGAGCGAGCCCCACCACAGGTTCGCGGGCTCGTTGAGCGCGCTCGGCACGCCGGCGAGGCGCGCGCACTCGACGATCGCGCGGTCCGTCGCCCGGAAGTTCTCGTGGTTCGTGAAGGACACGACGTCGGCGCCGGCGAAGATGTCCAGGAGGTCGCCGACGGCGTGAACCAGCTCGTCGGGCAGGTCCGCGCGCGACTCGTAGGCCGCTAGAGCGAGCGCGAGCGACGCGCCGACGTCGTCGCGGCCGTGGGCGTCGAGCACGGCGAGGGGCACCTCCATGGCGTAGCGCTCGACGCGAATGTCTAGATCCTCGAGCAACGCCTCCAGCGGCAGCTGCTTCGCCGCGTCGCCGCCCGCCGCGGACGCGAAGACGAGGTCGAAGGCCTTGGAGCCGTCCGGTAAGAGGACGCGCGGCAGCCGCCGCGCCTGCTCCAGCGCGAGCATGGACTGGCCGCCGAGCTGCAGGCTCCCGACGAGCACGACGCGGATGGGCCGCCCGCGCGCCGCGACGCACGCGCCGTGCGCGAACGGCGCCTCCGACGGCCGCCGCGGCGCGGCGGCGGCGGACGCCGCGGCCGAAGGGCTCGTCGACGTCCCGCAGGATGCGCTCGCCGGGCCGCGGCGCGAGGTCGAAGACGACGGACGCGACGCGGCCCTCGTCGACGCGCGCGCCCTCGAAGACGGCGACCTCGACGACGTGCGTGCCCAGCCGCAGGCTCACCTCGAGCGCGCTCGACGGCAGCGGCGGGCCCATGACCGTCGCCTCGCCGCGGTCGAAGCGGATCCAGAGGCCGAGGGCCGACGGGTCCGACGGGAGGTCGTAGTAATGCAGGACGATGCGCACGGTGCGCAGGTTCCGCGCGTCCGGCGCCGGCGCCTCCGCGGCGCCGTAGACGACGGCGTCGGTCGCCGGCTCGGCGATGACGACGAAGGGCCGCAGGTCGAGGCCGCCGGCGCAGCCGGCGAGCGCCAGCAGATGCAGGAGGCGCCGCATCGCTAACGGATTTTAGAAGGCTGCGACCATCGCGCTGGGCTGCCCCGCGGCTGCACCTTCTGGTTCAATGCCAACGAGTGCACGAGCTGAAGCAGGCCGAAGCTGGGGCAGGCCGAGCGTCTGGTCCGACGCTGGTGGCCGACGCCGGGATCTCCCGGGGCGGCACCTCCCTGTGTCGGGGGGGTTCCCTCCGACACAAGACCCTCCCCCGGCGCCAGCGCCGCCATGGAGGACTCGGAGGCTCTGCGCAACAGCATCGGGCGCTGGGTCAAGGGCCGCATCCTGGGACGAGGCGCCCAGGGCACGGTGTTCCTGTCCCAG